ACCGACTAGCTCCTGAGTCAGAAGGTTTTGGGTTCAAGATCCATGTCGGTACTGGCTACTTTTATATCGTCTAAGGCCGTTCACTCTGTTAGCTCGGGCCTTCTATGTGTAACCTTACCCCTTGGCTTCACCATTAGCAGCCGTGCCTTCAGTTATTATGCACTGAAACTCTGGAATTTCCTGTCGCAGTCCCTCAACCTTACCCCATCTAAACTCGTTTTCAAATCTGGCAAGATGGAATGGTCAATAATGTCAAAAGCGACATAGAGGTCAAAGTGATCAAGGAGGCATAGGGAACCCTGCTCACACAAATAGAATATATAATTTGATAAGGGATTTCTTTCTACTGTGGGCAGATGGGAGCTGGACTGGAGGGGCTCAAGGAACAACAAGTACCGCTCAGGTCCAAATCCCTGACTGTCCAACGCCTTGGGAAATCTGCCCGATGTGAAAGGCGCTGTACAAATGTAATTTTGTATTGTATTGTACAGCAACGTGAATTTATATGGAGTAGAGAGGGAGGTGAGAGCAGAGTTGAGTGACAACAACATTCCTGGATTATAGATTGAAGCTGCAGGTTTCAGATGGACTTGTAGTTGGAAGATTTGGGAAGGTTTTTTAGCAGGTGATGATGAAGTGTTGAAGAGTATGGGTTGTACAATGCCAGCAGAGATGAAGAGGTTGACAATAGTGGCAGGCGAGGGGAAGGAGGAGGAAGTTACAGGAAGAGACAAGGTGGGATGGAGGGAGGGAAGGAGGAAGAAGATGCCTTGAAAAATATTAAGGTTGTGAAGATTAGCTGAATATCTATTGCAAACAATGATCTGATGCACTTGCGAAATCCTTAGACTAAAGAAATGTGACTTTCTGCAATTAAAGATTGGAAATGTCAATTTGTCAGAGATTGAGACATAATAGAATTACATGAAATTACAATCATCACTGATTGACGGGATCATCTCAGATTTGAATACTTCACAGAAATGGTAGTCATGAGTGATATTCTGTTCACAAAGGTATTTTGTAACTACAAGGATTGCAAATATATTTCGCACATGTCATTAATTCAATAAAAATGACCAAGTAATAAAGGAAGTGTGATTAATCCACTCCCAATGCAAGGTGTGAGTGGATTAAGGTGATTTGCATTATAGAATTTTTTTTAAACAAAGGAACAGGAGTGTACGTCATCAAGCTTATTCCATCAGTTTATTAAGAGAATTTGCCTTAGGGCTAAGAACATGAGAGCATGAGATGACGATGGTCAGCTTGAATATCATCCCATACCACACTTTTGCATGATCATGAGAATTTTCAGAATATCATGATAAATTATCTGTGTGTTTGGATGAATGTAGCTGTGGAGTCCTATAGCTCAATAATTAATGCACTCACCTCACAAGGAGAGACCTGGGTTCGATCCCCAGCAGGGCAAAATCTTGGGCAAGTTTCCTTACTCCATATGCCTAATAATAATCCCTCAAGAAAAAAACAATAATAAATTGGTCATTTCAATCCACAATGCTTTTTGGGACACTGCTATGCGCAATTGGCTGGTGTGTTTTGCCCACACGTATATACAATCAATTCACTTTACAGTATACACTGTGAAGCGCTTTGAGATGTCTCGAAGATTTGCTATATCAAATGCAAGGATTATTTTTATTATTATATGACAAATTTAAATGAGAATCCACATTGATAAGGCAAGGAGCCAAAGCTCGATGAAGCTAACATTACCCTTCTATTAGTAAGGTATTTTAAGTAAACTAGTTTATGTTTTGTCCTCAGCACAATCATATCGTAGACAAGTTTTGTTCTAAATAAGCACGAGACGATATAATGTGCAGCACCAAATGATAATTTTATTTAGGTGATGCATTCTCTGTGACTTAAACATTTACTTTGAGAGAACAAAGGGTTAACGGAGAAGTGTAATATTATACATGCTTTTCAGCCCAGGTATTAACCTAGTAAATCTATGCTGGATGTCCTCCAAGGCTACTATAGACGTCCTATATTTGGAAGCCCAGAACTGAATGCAATAATCCAACTGAGGTCCAAGAAGTGCTCCATATAACTGCACTAACACTTCCTTACTTAAAAGCTTTTATATATATATATTTATATGATTGGAACTAATCATTGCACATTGTAAGAGAAAATGTAGTGACAAAGAAGGAACTTTGTATTTTCAAACAGATCATTGGCAACAGTACACATGAGCGCACACCCACATATTTGATCTCAGAACACTCTACCATTTCCACCATGGCATCAAGTTGTTTATTAAATGATTCCAATGTCCTGGCCACCCTTCCTGGCAATCTGTTTCAGTCGTTAATTGCCCTCCGAGGAAAGAAAAGCTCTCCTTGCTGTCTATCCTGAAATTGTCTTGTACAACTTTAAACCTATGCTCTACTATCTCAATGCATCCCAAAGCATTGTTCTGGGTTTATGATGAATTTCACTTTGTCTCGGGACAGTTAATATGGATTTTGTCCCAAAATGTAAATTGTGGAAAACTAAAGTTCAGGCTTCTCCTGGAAGCTGAATTTCCCCAGACTTAGATTCCAAATGAAAAGATTTTGTACACCTCTATAAAGTCCCCATGTGAGTCATCTTCTCTCCAGACTGAGAATCTGATAATCATTCCAATTTTGCATTGCCTCTAATCCGTGGGCAACCCTTCAAACTATTCTCATTCAGGGAGGGGAAAAAGTTGCTTATTTTTTCAAAATTGATTACAGGAAAAAATATGTCTAAAAATCATTATTTCACAATTGATCATTAAGGTAAATTATCATAGGAAAGAGCTACGAATACCATTTGTTGTTCACACCCTTTAAAATGTTCCTGGAAGTGATAACACCCCTGTACAGACAATATAAATAGCCACAGGTTCCAGTTGTCAGTTTAAAAGTCATTTGAAGAGGCAGAGAGAGACAGAGAGACCAAGAACTTGAACATGGCAAATCTGGTCAATGTATCCAACTTCAGTATCGGTCGTTCATCACTGAGGCGTAAGATTTCATTTTGGTTCATTTTCTTTAACTCTGTCTTGTGTTTGCTTCCTTTCTCTTGCCTGCTTATGCTTGACGTGATTTCACTGCCTTTCCCTTCAGGCTGCCAAAACCCTCATCCACGCATTTATTACATCTAGGCTTGACCACGCCAATTCCCTGCTTGTCGGACTTCCCAACTCTTCCCTCCACAGGCTGCAGATCATCCAGGACTCTGCAGCTCATGTCCTCTCCTACGTCAGACTCCATAACCCTATCACGCCCACCTTCGCCTGGCTTCACTGGGTTCCCATTCCCCAGAGGATAGAGTTCAAAATCCTCGTCCTTGCCTTCAAAACTCTCCATGGCCTTGCTCCTTCCTATCTCTGTGACCTGCTAACATCATACCAACCTGCCTACTGCCTCCCCTCAGCAAGCTCTGGTCTACTCCACATACCCCATCTTTCCTGTCCCCACCATCGGCAGTTGGGCGTTCAGCCTTTCTGCCCCCACCTTTGGAACTCCATCCCACAGTTCTTTCATCTTGCTCCCTCCCTTGCCTCCTTCAAGGCATGTCTCAAGACCATCTTCTTTGACCGCACCTCCAGCCACCTTCCTTCCCCTACATGCCTTCCACCCCTCCTGATCCCAACCTCTTTCTCGGGTCCAAATCCCTGACATTCCAGCTCTTTGGGAAAGCCTCCCGACTTGAAAGGCACTCTAGAAATTGAATTTGTTGTTGCTGTTGTTATTGTTGTTGTGATGTGAGCCGTGGTCTTAAAGGAGGCTCATATTAGGTGGCTGTCTATTCATTCGGGCACTGATGAGTTCAGTCTCCCGAAAAAACTTTGTCTTAAAATTTAAGTGCTAACAGGATAGTGAAAAAATTCTTAAATTAAGTTTTCATTTGGAGTCTTCCAGGTGAAGATTTTCCACAATTTACATTTTGGGACAAAATCCATGTTATCTGTCCCGAGACAAAGTGAAATTCTAGCGCTCAGATTACAACGATGCTCAGTACGTTGTCTCAGGCAGGCCACCAGTGAGGAATGTGTGGCTGTTTAGTTTTCCTGAGATTCGGAAAGTGAAAAGTTTCAGGTGCAGATCACGTAGGAGCAGGGTCGGACTTGGCAATGATACTTTGCTTTTGAATTATAGATAGACTCTGTAAAGCCTGCTAATGTTTAGTGGTTCAATTCAAAGCCACTTGAATTGGGTGGGATAAAGGCGTGGGAGCTGGTCACACCCAAGGAACTGCATTTCAGCATTATCTTTACAAGAGGGTTTGAGAGGTGCAGAAGTAAAAAAAAAAGTGCTTTCATCATGCCTTGCAACAGAACGTCGGAATCGAGCCAGGTAGGTCCGCAGTATTCCGGGGCACTGCTGATGACAGCACAGCCTGGCTCATCGTCAGGGCCTGGAAGGACAGACCAGTCACTGGAGACAGAGAGTAATCCCACTCAGCTCCTATTATCCCTGCAAGCCAAAGCCCTAGTATGCAAGTAGCAGGGAAGCTTGCCGGACAGCAATATCAATGGCAAGCTATGCGTTTTTAGCAGGTTAGACTCCAGCAGTACCCCACCGCACACTCTGGAGTCCCCAATCGTAGCTCTTGCCAATCTGCAACTAATACCTTCCAGAATTAGGTAAGCAGAAGGCATCCCTTCAGGGAGAGAGTGTGGATTCCATTCCAACAATCTATCTCTGGGATTTCCATGTGGAATGCATGGAAATCTCAGCTTGGTTTGAAAACTCTTATGGGCGGTGATGGATTTCCATGTGTGACAGAAACCCGGCTGACCCTCCCCCAAAGAAGGTGGTATCATTTCTTGTCAAATGTTTGTAAAATGGGCAGTGCTTAGGCTTCCTGAAGCCTATTATATTGCAGACTGAGGATATAAAGGTTGGCAGCCTGCTTCCACTTGTCATGAGATTCTTCAGAAGGAGTCCAGAGCAGAGTTTCTCCATTGACAGAGATATCATTTCATCTGATATAAAATGGCAACTGGTGAGTGGGGAGACTGCATTAATTGTCAGTGAAGCTTACAGATGTATTTTCTTTTACATACTCTAAAGTGTATGGTTTTTTACCTGTGGTGTGAAATGGAACATAGATGCAGTGATGTATATTAGGGTTGAAAAGTGGGCGGGCTAATGGGGCTTCAGTGGAGTCACACCGACGTACGTAAACTCAGCTGAAACCTGAGAAAACACAAACAATAAAAGGAAAAGAGAGAAAGGTGGTTGATACCAGAAAGGTTTAATAAATCATGAAATGAACCGAGACCAGCCCTATCCACTAGAGATCGTTCAGGAAACGCTCCACCTGCTGTTACCAGCAAGAGATAAAAGAATTTAAAGATTTACAGATATTTTCTTCTTCTGTGCCCTTCCTCCAAAGCCTTTCCAATTGGTGAGTCACTTCAGGTTGACCTTCACTATGAAAAGAACAACCAAATCCACAATTCTTTGGAGATGAGCAACAGACAACTCATTGTCAGACGGGGACAACCCTTCCAAATCACCATACGCTTCGAGAAAAGTAGATTCGACCCAAGCAAGAGTGAATATGTTCTCATTGCAGAGACAGGTAATCAAAGTGAAAGTTGGGTAACAATGTCCACTGTAAAATGTTTTACGGTGTTATTTGATGTGATAGAAGCTATATGAATGGAATTTGTTATTGCTGATGTGGTCATTCTGTCCTTCTTGCTTTAGGAACAACGCCTTCAGCAAAACTTGGAACCAGAATTACCTTCTCTCCATCAAGAACCATTGATAGGAAAAGTTGGAGTGCTGTTGTTGTCTCAGTAACCCAAACTGAATTGTCCTTGTCCATCTCCCCAAGTCCAAATTCTATAATTGGTCGCTACACTTTATTTCTCCAAGATTCTAGGAGGTATCAACTTGCGGAATTTGTTCTCCTTTTCAACCCTTGGTGTTCAGGTAAAGCTCCTTTTAATACTGGTTTGTGCTTAGATTGATCTTGAACTATGATAACACTCTGTTCCAGTGCTGGAGAAGCACTGATTGATGAGGGCGCATTTCTTCTGATAAGAAATTAAACTAAAGTCCTGTCTGCCTGTTCAGGTTGATGCTCATGATCTGTGGCACTGTTTGAAAAGAGAAGGGAGTTTCTCCCAGGGTCCTGGCCAACAATTGCCCGGATAAAATTGGCCATGCACTTCATGGCTGATCGTGGAACATTGCTGTACACCAATTGGCTGCTGTATTCACTTACAAGTACACAGTCACACACTACATATTATGAGGCACTTGGGAATGCCCCCCTGAAGCAAAAGGGAAACATTCCTCAATTAATTCTTGAATTGGAAGCCAGTTTTCTGATTTTTTTTAAGCACGATGGAGAACCTTCTTCCAAATTCTAAGTTCTTCACAGTCTTACCTTTTAAGACAATTCAAGGCTAAGACCATGACAAATTTAAGACCTCTGGTCTCTGGAATATTTAACCAATGCAATATTTGACACAATGGCAAACTAGATGTTTGCATTCAATTTAAGTGGGATTTATTCCTCAGTTGCTGTGTCTGTGCTTTACTTTCACAGATGATTGTGTCCACCTGGAGGACGATGACCTGTGCGAAGAGTATGTGATGAATGAGAATGGATTGATTTATTATGGTGACCAGTATTGGATAAGGGACATGCCATGGAACTTTGGACAGGTATCTGGAAACGTTTTATCTCGGCTGATCAACTAAATATTATTCTTCGAATTTGACATTAACTCTTCTTATTCCCTTTATACCTTATTCCCTTTGAAATTTCCTCACAGTCCTATAGTTTAAATAATTCAGCAAGTTAATGCAGTTGACCCATATTGAGCAAGAAGTTACAAATTCAAATGGAAATTGATGCTGACAATGACAGCTGAGGTGCTACACTTGGCTTCTTCTGCTCTGACCCAATATTTGTCAGATCAGAATATATTAATATTTTATTATTATTATAAGATTTGTAGGTACAATGATAAACTCTGTCGACCAGACTCTGTTGGTATCATTCTCGACTCTGGGTCAGAGGTTTGTGGGATCAAGCTTCAAGTCAGGACTTTGAATTCATAGTCAAGCCTGATGCTCCAAGGGTTGCCATCCTATGGATGAGATGATACACCAAGGCTCTGCCTGCCTGTTCAAGTGGACGTTAAAGATCCTGTGACACTATTTGATTAAAGAAGGGAGTTTCTCCTGGTGTACTGGTTGATACAATCTCCCCAATAAAATGGGTCATTCACTGCATGGCTTTCTGTAGGACATTGCTGTGCCCAAAATTGGCTGCTGTGTTCACATACAAAATACACAGTGACTAATTTACAGTCGAATCCTTTGAAATATTGACACTGTGATAAGGTGTTATATCCAATGCAACGATCTTTATTAATAATATGTCAGGGTACAGGGAGCTACAATTTTTTGACTTTCTTTTCCAGTTTGATGAAGGTATTTTGGACATTTGCTTCAAACTGTTGGATAACAGTTTGAAGTATAAGAGAAATCCATTGAAAGATCAAAGTCAAAGAAATGACCCCGTCTACATCAGTAGAGTGGTATCCTCTATGGTAAGCAGTGAAATAGTAATGGTAAAAGTGGTGAACGCATGGTTAATAGCTATTAATGTGAAAACTTTCTAGGAAAGTTCTACTGACCATCCAAATAAATCATAGATTTAAGTTTTCTTTATTGCTGTCTTGACTTCACAAATAAAATAGATTTGCTTTGCAACTTTTCAAGGTGAACAGTAACGATGAAAATGGAGTGGTTCAAGGAAGATGGGATGGTAATTATTCTTCTGGAGTATCCCCAACAAGATGGAATGGAAGCATTAAAATTCTTCGCCAGTGGATTCAATCTGGTTTCAGGCCAGTTCGTTACGGACAGTGCTGGGTGTTTGCTGCAGTGGCCTGCACAGGTACAGAGAAGAGGGGGCAATGGGGATCTCATGCATAAATATAACGATGGAAAATGCAACATAATGTGTTCCCTGATTTCTTATTCTTTCATAATGTTTAAGACATACAATAAAACTATATATTACAGAGGGATTTATGCACAACCAACCCCTTTCAAGCAATCACCTCCATTCAGTAACCAATCCCCTGTTAAGAACAAGTGTGCAACAGCCTGGACAGCTCAATTTGCACACCAATGAACCCTTACTCACTTACTTTATATAAAGACCACATTGGCCCAGTACCCCGAGAGGCTTTTGAAAACAGATTTGACTGTATAGAGTTAATTTTATAAATATTTTACATACTTATTATAGATTACACAATACAGTGCAGTACAAATTTACATTTATACAGCACCTTTCACATCGGGAGGACGTCCCAAAGTACTTGACACTGCTGGCTGGGCACTTGAGCTGGAGGTGGGAGCCTAGGATGGATTTTATAGATTTCTATATATTATATATATGTGTGTTTGTATTATACATCAATATAAAATCATATATTTTCTTTATTTAGTTCTAAGGTGTTTAGGAATTCCTAGCCGTGTTATCACAAACTTTAGTTCTGCACATGACACCGATGAGAATATGGGTATTGATGCCTACTTCGATGAAAATGGAACAAAACTGCCAAGTTCAACTGACTCAATATGGTATGATTTAAGATGAAATAAATGGGAACTTCATGCATACATGAGGGAGAAGGGACCTGCAGGGAATGGGAGAAGACACTAGAAAGGGCGGAGGCTTGTGCAGAGTGTAAACACTGACATAGATTTGTTGAGCCAAATGGTCTGTTTTTATCCTATAAAATTTCACTTAACCATATATGCTACTGTGAATTATATTCTGTATGTATAATATATATTCTTATGGTTCTTGTGTTAGAATTAAAATATGTGTGGACAAAAATATAAATGTGTGTTAGCTTGGCTCAGTGGTAGCGCTCTCGCCTTTGAGTCAGAAGGCAACTTTGAGGTTGGTTTTCTATAGAATTTAGTTCTAGAAACCAGCTTCTAAATTACGACTATTGAAGAATTTGCCAAATTCTGGTTGCTCAAAAGTGCTACATACAAACTTGCCTTCCTTCTGTTGATATTCCTAATTAATTCAGGACCCGATAACAACATTCAACGGCTTTTACAATAGTCAATATATTTCAGCATCTGGCCATAAGCACAATTGTATGGAGCTCCGTTTCTGTAAGGATTTCAGTACTATGGATACTTTTCTTTGTTGCTGCTCTTTAGGAATTTCCATGTCTGGGTAGAAAGCTGGATGCTGCGAAATGATTTGAGATCAGGCTTTGATGGATGGCAAGTTGTGGATCCAACACCACAGGAGACAAGTGAAGGTAAACACACCACCCATTGTCTCCCTCTGCATCACCAAGTCCTGCTGATGAGCTTGGCTGCCTGGTCTATCATCAATGAGAACAAATAGAAATATTCCATCAGGAATAAGTGCTTATGACGTGATTAATAGAATTGGAACAGGTTATAACCTAATCAGTAACATAATCAGTAACCTAAGATTTATTCTTTAACGATGTACATTACAATACCAAATTACATTTGTAGAGTGTCTTCCACATTGGGAGGACGTCCAAGCTGGTGAACAAATTAACAAATCTGGACCCACATATTTGGCAATATTTTATATTTTTTAGTATTGATAATATCATGGATATATTCAGTGATTTTTTTTCCTATCCATGAATACATTTTGGAAATGTGAGCCAGAGCTTTTGATTTGATCAGTTGGAACAAACCTTGACAGTTTTGACATTTGATAGGTGATCATTACCTCACCTCTGGTCTTTTGTTCCCTCTCCTTCTCTCTCTGTCTTTTCTTATATAAATTAATAATATATTCTATGTGAACCAGAAGAAATCTTACGCAAATGCTGAAATGATATAACCTGAATAAAGCAGAACAGTTATTATGCAGAAGGACTCACACTGACCATTAGTATGCCTTCAAAGTCACTGAGCCAGAAATTTTTCATTCAATTTCAGGAATTTTCTGCTGTGGACCTTCCCCAGTGATAGGTATTAAAAACGGACAGGTGGACTTGAATTATGACAGCAAATTTATATATGCTGAGGTCAATGCAGATAAGGTTTTTTGGATGGTAAAGGGGGAAACCAAAACAAAACTACGAAGTAAAAGCGATGGAATTGGCAAAAAGATCAGCACCAAGAATCCCCGTGATGATACTCGCGATGATATTACACACTTATACAAATATCCTGAAGGTAAGGGGGGAAAATACAAATTCACATTTAACTTATCTAAATGAAAAGTTTGATTAATGTCTACCCTAATCGTGCTTAGTTAACATTCAATAACATTTAGTCATTCACGTCCTGGCTGTTTGTGGGACATTTCTGGGTGCAAATTAACTGCCGCGTTCACCTACAAGATACACGGTCACAACATTTTTCAGAGGGTCTTGTGAAGAGGGACCTTGAAACATCCTCCCCTCTTGATTACATCACATTCAAGCATTATTTATTTTTATTGTTATGTGGGAATTGGTTACTGCATTTGACCACTCAATATCAAGGTACTTAATAGTAATAATGATTGTGACATTCTGATTATCAACTTCAAGGATTGTTGTTATTATTATGGATTAGCAACAAATCATTTTATTTTGATGATACAGGGTCCAATGAAGAAAGAAGATCATTCAGAACAGCTGTACGGAGGGCAACTCACAAATTTGAGGATGAGGATGAACTCGAATTGACTATAAATACGGTTCCTGCCTCCAATGGAAGCAATGTTAAGGTGATGCTGGTCATCTCCAACAAGAGCAACAGGAAAAGAGTCTGCCGCCTTCTGTTTGCTGCTCTTAAAAAGTCATATAGTGGAATAACTAGCAAAGTATTTGTAAAGAAGTTCATCAAAGATAATATCCCTGTTGAACCCAGAAAAGGTAACTGAACAGCAGTTCATTTTGTAACTAGTCTAGTATATCAAATGTTGTTGTAACATATTTTACTCGTGGTTGCCAGGCACGTTCATAGATTCATAGATGGTACAGCTCAGCAACAGGCCATTCGGCCCATCCAGTCCAGGTGATTTATATACGCTACACAATGTCTATCCTGGACCCCATCCCTAGTCCCATATTTTGGCTTTTTCCCTTATATGTCAGTTTTATTCTCTCTAAACATGTGTCTACAACAACAACAAAAAATTACATGTGTATAGTGCCTTTCACATCGGGAGGATGTCCCAAGGTGCTGGACAGACAGAGTTATGAACCCGAGCTGGGGGTCGGGATCGGGGAGGATGGAGAGCAAGGGGGAGCTTGCTGTTCCAGATCTCCCAAATCTGATTCTAAAACTATATCCTTTCGTTCTAGACCCCCCCGACCTCCAGAAATGTACCTTTCCCTGTCCACCCTGCCTCTGTCTCCCATCGTCTTATATTTCTATTTCCTCTCAGCCTCTTGAGCTCCAAAGAAAAAAGCCCCAGTTTATCAAGCCTTTCCCTATAACTGCATATTAATTATTGCACTGAGCCAATCAGTAAAAGTATAACAGAACAGTGTTGCTCTTGGTCAGGTTTTCGACATGCGTGGAAACCGATCACACTGCTGTAAGAGTATCCACTCCAAACTGTTCAGAGTTCTGCAGATGCATGGAAACTTGCTTAAAGTTTAATCTGATTTCAATTTCTTTTTTCTTAACTTGCCAGACGAAACAATTGCTCTGGAAATCACTTACGAAGAGTATGGGGATTTTCCTGATCCCTTCAACGTGCTGAGTCTGGCAGCTCTTGTGATCGATCAGAACAAAGATAGTGCATTTTCAGAAAAGGAAATATCCTTGACCAATCCATCCATCTCGCTGAGAGTAAGAAAATGTGCAATAAGATTTTATGTCCTCCAGGCAAACTTCAATTAGACTGGATATCCTCATTGATTTTCTCTAGTCTTGAGAGAAGGGGTCCCAGACAGAACCTTACAAAAGTGTACAACATTTTAAATAGGATCGAAAAAATAAATTCAGATCAATATTGTAAGATGAACTGAGAGAGTAGAATAAGAGGACATAGGTTTAGAGCTGTAAAGGGCAATTTCAGGAGAGACACCAAAAAGGGTAATTAACAACTGGAAAAGGTTGCCAGGAAGGATGGTTGAGCAATGGGATTCTCAGAAACCAGTATATGAAAGTCAGTAGGGTGGGTATTCAGGAAAAGGTGTTGGATGCATTTGTATATATATGAGAGCCTGACTCAATAGTAGAGCTCTCACCTCTGAGTCATAAAGTTATGAGTTCAAGCCCCACTTTGGGACTTGAAAACACATAGTCTAAGCTGACACTCCAATGTAGTGTTGTATGTGTGTTGCATTATCGGAAGTACCGTCCTTAAACCGAGGTCCCGTCTGCCTGTTCGGGTGGACGTTAAGGATCCCACGGCACCATTGGAAAAGAGACGGTAGTTTCCCCCAGTGTTCTGGCCAACAATTTCCCAAATACAAAAAATTGGTCACTCACTCCATGGCTGTTTGTGGGATATTGCTATGCACAAACTGGCTGCAGCGTTTTGCCTACAAAAATACACAGTCAATCAACTTTACTGTATATCCCATGAAGCGCTTTGAGACGTCTTGATGATGTGATAAGGCACTATATTAAATGTAAGACTTATTATTATTATTACCGTGTGGGAGCATATAGTTGGTTAAGAGGAGAGGACCAAGAATAGAGCCCGGAGGAAGAACCTTATATTTATTGTTAATGATGTTTTCAATGGGAAAAGGAAGAGTTACTTTACTAAAAAAAATGTTTTTCATCTTCAGCTGCTTGACAATCCTATACAGAACAAACCAGTGTCTGTAGAAATGCGCTTTGAGAACCCTTTGCCTGAGACTCTTACTGACTGTGTCTTCACACTTGAGGGAGGAGGTCTGATTGACGATGAGATTCAGATAAGGTAAGTAGATGTTAAAAACATACACAAGGAGACACATCCTTCACATCCAGTTTATGTGAATTGTATCAACTTCTAAACAGATGGAAAGGATAATTTGTATGCATTTCTTACTAGTAACATGAAAGCATCATTTTTATGATGCTGAGTTCTAAAAATGAAACCAAAGGACAAGAGTATCATTGACAGTACACACCCAAAGAATTGGCAGTTTGCCATTACCCTAAAGTTTCTCAGTCGTACATTAAAATATATTCAACATTTTCTTACAACTCTTATCTTTTTCTTAACTGACAAATTAACGATCAAAATAACTAACTTTCTCTTTGCTTGTTTTAGGGTTGGTGTCTTAAAACAAGGTGAATCAACAAAAGCCGTAGGGAAGTTTACTCCCAGGAAGGCAGGGAAGAGGAAGTTAATTGTGAGTTTCGACAGCAATAAACTGAAAGACGTGAAGAAAAGCATTGATTTCAAAGTCAGTCCAGCGGCGAATTAATTCAACAAAATCAAGACGAAGCATGCTGTTTCTTTGGAGGATCTTAGAGGTTATGCTCGGTTTACAGTATTCTATTAATGCTTAACATCTCGCGAAAAATCATTGATTGCTCTGCTGCCACTTTGGATGTCTGGAAACACTGTTCAATTAATCTTTCTATCAAAATGAATTATTGTTTTTAACTCTGTGTATACTAGCCTACCCGCAATATTATCCACAAGCCTAGATAGTTTCCAAAACCCAACGTGAACTTTCTGATAATTTCACAGTATAATGAGCTTCTTAGGTTCAAATCATTTTCTTTCCAATTGTTATCTGTTTGTATCCTGGTAAGATGCAACAGCAATATGAAGAAAGAGACCAAACGGGAATATTGATTTTACAGGGTCTGGTATCGTACTTAATATAATGTTACAGTGGGTTGGTGAAGGGTACCAAAATTCAATCCCCATAGATTGAATCTTACCAACATTGATTCTGTGGGTTCTCATTTTCGTGCTGACGCTTGTATTTCCTAACATATACATGAAATAAATTGCATAATTATGAATTCTGTGTCAGTGTACTTTACAAACCTTTCCTGTGACTGATGCTCTGTCACTGCATCTGCACACACTTCAGCAGTAGGCAATCTCATTGTAAACACACCATATCAAAGGTTGCTGCTGTTAACTATTGGCATATGATGGATGCCACAGCAACCCTGTTGATTTCACTGAGCTAACAGAAAGTTCTGTCGAGATCTTCACCCTGTAGGTTTATTTCATTGAACTTACATTCATACTGCTTAATAATTTAAAGCTAAATGTTGACAAGACGGAAGCATTTTCTAAGCGCCGTTGTAATCTGAGCCCTAGAATTTCATTTTGTCTCGGGACCGTTAACACGGATTTTGTCCCAAAATGAAAGACTTGTGGAAAACACTGAGGTTCTCTGAAAAGTCCTCTCTATCCGTGACCAGGGCTCCCTCTGGTCCTTCTCATCCTCCTGCATCTCTCTGCCGCTTTCAACAGTCAACCACGCCATCCTCCTCCACCATCCACCTTAGTGGGACCATACCCACATGGTTCGAGTCTTATTCAACCAACCGCATCCATTTCATTTAAGTAAATGGTTTCTCCTCCCGCAACTCTCTTCACTCTCTGGTACCTCCCTACCTTACCGACCTGCTCACTTCCCAATCCACAACCCAGCGCCTCCGCTCGACTGGTACCAGCCTCCTTCTTGTCCCTCACACCCTCTGCCCCACCATCATAGGTTGTACCATTATGCCCCAAAACTCTGGAACACTCTCTCTTATGCCCTCTGCCTTGCCCCCTCTCGCCCCTTCTTCAATACCCTCCTGAAAACCTTCCTCTTCGATCGTGCTTAGGGCCACATCCGCCCCACCAACCCCCACACTCAGGCTCAAAATCAGGTTCCGCCACTCTTAAGTGCTCTGAGACACTACTCTGCATTGAGGGTGCTATATACGTGAAAGTTGTTGCTGTTGGTGGTTCTGCCTGCATCTGGAAGCTGGATTTCCAGAGATGGATTCCAAATAAAAACTCAATTTAAGAATATTTTCACCATTCTATGTTCTTAAATTTTAAGGAAAAAAAATTGCCTTACAGGCTAACACAAAGTGGAGTTTCAAGTGTTTAGGTTCTTCCTGTTTTTTAAGTTTTGATATTAAAAAAATGAGTGGGGGTGGGGAAGTTAAGGCAAAAAAAAGTGCCATTTTATAAAAGAATGTGAAAATGATGACAGCTGAACATGAACTTAAGCAATCAAGGTCCCAGGTAACAGAAAGGCTACAGCATTAAGGTAGAGTAATTAAGGTTCCAAAAGTACGTCAATCATATGAAGAGAATAAATGAATGGGAAACAATGTTTGATGGGTGACTGAACCCATCAAGCCCTGAATGATAAAGGCAGCATTTGAGAATGAGCCTCCTCCTAGAACCATTTCTCACATCACTTCAAGTATAAGCAGGCAAGAGAAAACAAGCGAACACAAGACAGAGTTAAAGAAAATAAACCAACATGGAATATTACGTTTGTGTGATTGACCACTTTCAGTAGATCCACTGATACTGGAGTTAGTTGTATTGCCCAGATTTGCCATGGTCAAGGTCTGGGTCTCTCTTTTACATTGCCAACTAAAGCTTGTGGCTTCAAGAAGGAACAAATATTTATTGTATCTGTACAGGGGATTTTAAAAGTGTGACAATAAAAAGGTAATTGGCAGAGACTTATTTGGTCTCGTAGTTAATTACCTTAATGATATATTGTAAAATCATAATTGATAGACTTTGTTTTTATAAACTTGTTTCTTTTCAAATGAGGATTTTTTTTCTTCCAGAATGATATTAGTTTAAAGAGGTTGCCAAACACTAGACGTAGGGCAGAGGCAACCATCTAGAATGATCCCCAGTGTGAAGGAATGAGCTGTGAACACGATTAGAATTCTCTTCACTCTTGAGATAAGATGACCCAGAGGGACTTTAAGGTGGGATATGACAAAGGTTCAGCTGTGGGAATCAACAAGATCTAACAAACTTGATGGCCTAAATGACCTCTCCTGTTCCTATTTTTTTATATTCCTATAACGCAGCTAACTATGATAGTGTTGCCTTGCAGTGGGAGTGGATTGTTGATACTTTATTGCTTAACCATTTTTATTGAATTTGTGAAATGTGCCAAATATATTTTGCAATCCTTGTAGTTGCAAAATCCTTTGTGAACAGAGTATCACACATGATCACCATTTCTATGAAGTATTGAAATCTGACATGGTCCTGTCAGTCAGTGATGATTGTAATTCCACGTACGTCCACTATAAATCAATCTCTGACTAATTGCCATTTGCCAGTCATTACTTGCAGAAAGTCACATTTCTTGTTCATTCCAAAGGTTTGGCGAGTGGAATCGGACCATTATTTGCATTAGATTTTCAACTAATCTCCACAACTTTAATATTTTCCAAAGGTTCTTCTTCCTCCTCCCCTCCCTCCACCTCACCCTTGTCTCCTCCTAGAATATACAGCACAGAAACAGGCCATTCGGCCCAACTGGTCTATGCCGGTGTTTATGCTCCACATGAGCCTCCTCCTGCCCTTCCCCAACTAAGCCTTCTAGCATAACTTTCTATACCTTTCTCCCTCATGTACCTATCTAGCTTTCCCTTAAATACATCTATGCTATTTGCCTCAACAACTCCTTGTGGTAGTATGCTACGAAGAAATTGGATTATACCCTTCCAGAACAACCACCCAATCATTCTGTCATCATAGTAATTAAGTTGTTTGTTTTTTACATGAGGCTTCACAGGATTTACCCCAGGGATTCAGGAACTTGTATGAAAGTTTGAATGAGATAGAACTGTGTAGCACATGCTGGCTGAGCTCATTCTTTGCCGAATCCATTCACAAGATCACAAGGTTAGATTGGATGAAGAAGGTCCTTTAGCCCATTCAATCTCATCCCTCCAGAACACACACCATACCGTTCCTCCATCACAGCATCAAGTTGCTTTTTAACTTAGTCAAATGTCCTGGCCTCCACCACCTTTCCAGTCAACTTGTTCCAGTCATTGATTACTCTCTGCATAAAGAAAAACTTCCTGGTGTCTGTCCTGAAATTTCCCTTCCCAACTCCTCTTGTTCTACTGTCTTGCTGCATCCTGAAGTATCGATCTGGATTTACTTTTTCAGTCTCATTTAAAGTGTTATACAACTCTGTGAGGTCCAGCTTATCTAATCGTTGTTCAGCCAACTAATGTTGCGATATGCAGTATTCAAGGTGTTGAATACTCGAGTCCTACCTCGCAAACCACCAGCAGTACATCCGCACAAACGGCTTCTCCTCCCGCTCTCACCCGGTCACCTACAGGGTATCCCAAGGATCCATCCTTGGCCCCCTCCACTTTCTGATCTATATGCTCCCTCTTGGGGATGTCATCCGTAGACATGGGATACACTTCCACATGTATGCAGATGACACCCAACTCTATTTTTCCACCTCTCTTTGCGACCCTCCCCAGTCCCCTGATGTTCTGTCAGCTGCCTGTCAGATCTCAGGGGCTGGATGAGCGCAAACTTCCTTCATCTGAACATTGGCAAGATGGAAGCCATACTCTTTGGCTCTCGTCAATGTCTAAAATCTCATGGCTCTCACCCCCTTCACCTACCCGACCTCCCCCTAAAACTCTCTGAACCCATATGCAACCTAGGCGTCAGGTTTGACCCCCAATTATCCTTCCTCCCCTACATCCGGTCCATCATCAGCACCGCTTTCTTCCACCTCTGACACATCGCCCGTGGGCCTTAACCTTGTGCAATAGCCTTTTGTGTGGCACTTTGTCAAATGCCTTTTAAAAATCTATATATACTACATCTATATATACTACATTTGTGGAGTCCTGTAGCTCAGTGGTTAGAGCACTCGCTTTGCAAGCGAGAGACCTGAGCTCAATTCCAGGCAGAGGGCGAAATCTTGGGCAAGTTTCCTTACTCCACACAGAGCCTAATAATAATCCCTCCAAAACCAAAAAACAATAATAAATTGGTCATTTTCAATCTACGACTGTTTGTGGGACATTGCTATGCGCAATTGGCTGCCGTGTTCGCCCACAAATATACAGTCAATTCACTTTACAGTGTGTTCTGTGAAGCGCTTTGGGACGTCCTTCCGACGTGAAAAGCGCTATGTCAAATGCAAGGATTATTATTATTATTATTATTATTATTATTGTTGTTATTATCTACTGGTTCCCCCCTATCTAACCTGCTAGATACATCTTCAAAAATCTCTAAAAGATTAGTTAAGCATGACTTCCCTTTTGTAAAGTCATGTTGACTCTGCCTAATCTTGTTATGGTCTTCCAGGAATCCCATAACGACATCCTTAATCAAGGACTCAAGAATTTTCCCTACGACTGATGTCAGACTAACTGGTCTATACTCTGTGAGGTCCATCTTATCTAATCTAATCTCCCACCCTTCTTAAATAGTGGTGTTATGTTTGCAATCTTTCAATCACTGGGAACCGTTCCAGAATTTTGGAAGATCAAAGACAAGCCATCCACTATCTCAATAACCATCTCTTTTAAAACCCTAGGATGTAGGTCATCAGGTCCAGGGGACTTATCAGTTTTAAGGTCTTACAATTGTCTTCTTGGTTCCCCTCTATTCTTGGTAGGTTTTCAGTGTCTTCTAAGGTGAAGACAGTAGCAAAGTACTTGTTTAATGATTCCGCCATGTCTTTGTCCACTACTATAATTCCCCCCGTCTCTGCCTGTAGCGGACCCACATTTACCTTTGACAGCAAGAAAGGTCAACTTTCTAGGTCAACTGAGGACTTCAGTGCAACAGGAAAGAGCTCTAATTTAATCAGTTTCCTAGATCCCACATCTTATTTTACTGCTTGAAACAACATGCACAAGGTTAGAATTAGTGCCTCTCATATAGTCCATGTAAAGTGTAGACTGCGATGCAGAAATGTACTTATAGATAGGACTGTTTGATGGTGATTTACATTTATAGACAGATATTGAGGTATAAAAGGGTACCAAAAAATTGTAGGAGATTGAGATTAAAAGATCTGACAAGATCCAATAAATTGATGAAATTGATGGAAGTGTGAAGCTATTCACCTATTCACCTAGGTAGCATTAATAGAAAAACAGATTATTTTCTAGAGGGGGAGAGATTAGATAGTATTAGTGTTCAGAGGGATTTGGGTGTCCTTGTACACCAGTCTCAAAAAGTTAGTTTGCAGGTGCAGCAAGCAACTAAGAAGGCGAACGGCATGTTAGCGTTCATTGCAAAAGGTTTAGAGTACAAGAGTAGGGAAGTCTTGCTGCAACTGTATAGGGCCTTGGTGAGACCCCACCTAGAGGACCTGAGGTGATGAGGGGTGGCGGGGGGAGTGGGAAAGATGGGGCAGGTAGGAAGGGTTACATGAAATATACTGGTGTTCGCTGAATGAGGGAAGAGACTGGGTTGATAGGAATACATGAGGTCACAAAGGTAAGGGTAGGTGAAGCTGTAAAAGGGATTGAACATGGGAATGTCTTGAGATTAAATCCTATAAAATGCTTTGATATATCCTTCTATTATGAGTGGAGCTATATTAAAAGTGACATTTATTTTATTGCTGTTATTTATCTCAGTCCTGCCAAACTAGTTTGTTTGCACTTGTTGACCTGGATTTGAACAATTTTGCAGGTGTCACCAATTATGGAAGGTGGGGTGGAACTATACAATCAAAGGAGGCTCATATTTATCAAAATAAATACAAGGTACTAGTTATAGGATGCAAGAATAGAAAATATAAGTACGCCCAAGATGTGAATCTTAAAGAGAGCCTGAGGTGTTATTTAACTGTTGTAAAAGTTTGCGGCAGCAGTGATCAAGGCAAACAGGATGCTGGGCTACATTGCTAAATCAGTTAAGTTGATATCCCCAGACCTCAAACTCAGGCTTCACAGTGCTTTGGTCAGAACACAACAACAATTTGGATTTATATAGAGCCCTCCACGCCGGACGGCGTCTCAGAGCGCTTCACAGTAACAGATCGCGGGACCGAGCCAGGGGGAGTGTGGGGGGGTGGGGGAAGGTGACCAAAGGTGCAGTCAAAAAGAAAAGAGCTGAATGACCTCCTCCTGATAATCTTTCCCTCTGCTGCTATAACCGTTGTTAATGTCGTGGCCAGAAACTGAAACAAAATACGCTTACACAGAATTCAGTATGCAGTACTCAATTTATTTGCTATAGTTATCGAATTCAGAGTCTGTATCATGGCCAAAACCTCAGAAGGCTTATGCTCACCCAAAGATGTAAAGGTTTAGAGTACAAGAGTAGGGAAGTCTTGCTGCAACTGTATAGGGCCATGGTGAGACCCCACCTAGAGGACCTGAGGTGATGAGGGGTGGCGGGGGGAGTGGGAAAGATGGGGCAGGTAGGAAGGGTTACATGAAATATACTGGTGTTCGCTGAATGAGGGAAGAGACTGGGTTGATAGGAATACATGAGGTCACAAAGGTAAGGGTAGGTGAAGCTGTAAAAGGGATTGAACATGGGAATGTCTTGAGATTAAATCCTATAAAATGCTTTGATATATTCTTCTATTATGAGTGGAGCTATATTAAAAGTGACATTTATTTTATTGCTGTTATTTATCTCAGTCCTGCCAAACTGGTTTGTTTGCACTTGTTGACCTGGATTTGAACAATTTTGCAGGTGTCACCAATTATGGAAGGTGGGGTGGAACTATACAATCAAAGGAGGCTCATATTTATCAAAATAAATACAAGGTACTAGTTATAGGATGCAAGAATAGAAAATATAAGTACGCCCAAGATGTGAATCTTAAAGAGAGCCTGAGGTGTTATTTAACTGTTGTAAAAGTTTGCGGCAGCAGTGATCAAGGCAAACAGGATGCTGGGCTACATTGCTAAATCAGTTAAGTTGATATCCCCAGACCTCAAACTCAGGCTTCACAGTCCTTTGGTCAGAACACAACAACAATTTGGATTTATATAGAGCCCTCCACGCCGGACGGCGTCTCAGAGCGCTTCACAGTAACAGATCGTGGGACCGAGTCAGGGGGAGTGTGGGGGGGTGGGGGAAGGTGACCAAAGGTGCAGTCAAAAAGAAAGGAGCTGAATGACCTCCTCCTGATAATCTTTCCCTCTGCTGCTATAACCGTTGTTAATGTCGTGGCCAGAACCTGAAACAAAATACGCTTACACAGAATTCAGTATGCAGTACTCAATTTATTTGCTATAGTTATCGAATACAGAGTATCATGGCCAAAACCTCAGAAGGTTTAAGCTCACCCAAAGATGTTGTACATTGGAATTGCACCCCTAACATCTTTTATAATAATGTCATCATGACATGCAAGAAACCATTGAAAAAGAAAAACGCAATCACAGTTAAGATTTGCCCCACACACTTCAGTTGAAAACGGAATTGAAATGATCATTAAAAAAAATGCATTCATTGAGTTTCAATTACAATCGCAATAGAGTGAAATAATAAGGGATATCTGCTTGTATGAAATCTACTTGTTGGTTAAGGTGGGGGAATGAGGGCTTCCAAATGGGCAAGTGGGTAAATCCAGCACCCTGCAACGTTATTCTGCGTGAAGGGCGCTATATAAATGCTGGTTGTTGCCGTGAAGCCAGCACCCTGTGCAGCACAGGGGTACGTGGAACAGATCCCACTCTTTGCTGATCTAAGATGGGGCAATGGTTGAAGCTATAACATCCGTCTCAGTGCCTCTGAATTAGGGAGGGGATAGGCAGCCAGAGGTCTTGCTCTGCTCCCGAATGCTCACCTGTGAGCTTCATATGCGTGGAATAGCCACTTGAAGGGCAACCAGCACCCACAGAGCTATATCCAATAGATGGAGCCAAATCCCTGTAGAGATTTGAAATCCACCCAGTCTTTGGCCTCCCAGACTATTTTGGTTCAAAACTTAAGATCGCGCAGAATTGTGCGAAACAAATCTCAAATTTCAGCCTTCAGTTTGAAAGCTGTTTTTCATCAGCCCGTAAAAAAAGGAACGGGTTTCTCAAATTAAGACTGAATTGAAGAATTTCTCACAATTCTGCACAATGTTACATTTCAAGATGAAATAGTCTTAATTGGTTGGTCTGGTTGAAAGTTCGGGCCACCGGGGAACCAGAAGAGGAGGCATGTGGCAGGGAAAATCAAGGTAGGATAGGGCTGTTCTATTCTGTAGCTGGTTTTGCGCCTGAACTCGTTCGTGGTTCAAGAGATCACAAAATTTGTTTCGCCCACAAAATATACAGTCAATTCACTTTACAGTACATTCTGTGAAGCACATTGAGATGTCTCAATAACGTAATAAGGCGCTATATCAAATGCAAGGATTATTATTATTACTGAGCTTGCAGTCAGGACCTGAGGTCCGGGTGCAAAATGGAAGACCTGAGACAGATTATTAATAGAAGAGTGTGTCTTTTCTATTAATAATCCTTGCATTTTCATTCATACTGACAGCTATGGAACAGTGCCTCTTCATTGTATAGTGGAATCGACTGCACACCAGTAGGAAATAGGTGCTAGCCTTCGCTCACTTCAGCAGAGAATGGAGAGTAGCGTCGGGTTCCAGTTAGAGAATGAGAAGGATTCAACTCCTATACTTGTCCTCATTAGATCATGACATACCCAGCTTTACTTTGTACGATTGTCATTTGATTCCGGCAATTTCATCCAGACAAATTCTACCATTATCTTTCACTCTAATGGATGTCTGGAGTTTGCTCTGCAGGACAAGGTCACAAAAGTAACTTTGAACTTTTGAAGGGCCATTTCTATAACTGCACTGGCCCTTACATACTCCCTCTCCCAGGACTGGTGGAACACAACACAAGTTTTAGTTTATTGTAATAAAATGCTCCACATAAACAGGTTCTCAGAGAACATACTCAATCATTGCAAAGGGTTTGGCAAAGTACTGTAGTCCCAAGCAAGCAATTTGCACAAGTTGCACAAAATAAGTTCTGACTCATTGGATCACAAGTGGCAAGGAATATCAATGATTTTGGATCCTTTAACGTTTCTAATTTTATCGCTGTCGAAGTCCAGGCTTAGCTTCCTCTCTCCTGACTTCTTGGGTGTGAACTGAGCCTTCACTTTAGCAGTTTCTCCAGCATTCACTTTGTTAACCCTAAAATAGCCAAGATGAGAATTGTTAACTAAGAATTCAAAATTCCAAAATACGCTAGTAAAATAATCTTTAATACAAGCCTGAAATAAACCACCAAAAACAACGGCAACTTGCATTTATGTAGCGTGACTCATGCAGGGCAGCTTACCAGAGCGCCAAACTAAACTATTAAGCACCAGCTGTGTGACATAATTGCATGTGAGCTTGAATAAGGGAATGTCATTTGAAAGTTAACAGAATCACCGATAAGTTTTAATAATAAATAATAATCCTTACATTTGATATCGCACATCATCCTCCCAACGTGAAAGGCACTATAACAAATGCAAGGCTTATTATTGCCATTATTATTATTATTATCTACATATCAAGTTCTACTTACTTTAACTGCATTTCCCCTTCAATCAGACCTGCTCCTTCCAGGGTGAAGACACAATCATTCAGAGGCACGGGTAGAGGGTTCTTAAAGCTGATTTCTGCTTTCACCTTGTGGTTCAGCAAAGGGAATTCCTGAACCTGAAGAACAATTTGAGCATTGCAATTATTCCTCAAACATGTATTCAGTGTTTGATCTTGCAATTTTCTACATTGAACAAAAAAAAANTTTCCTTTAAAAACATAAATCAAGAAAGCGCATAGCAGGCAGGGTTCCGTGCAAAGCTAAGAGGTAAATGGACCAGTTTAGATAAGGATTGTTGGCCCCAACACCAGGAGAGATTCTCTATTCTTTTCACATCATGGCGTGGATTCTTTATTATCCACCTAACGTCTCATCCAAAGATCGGGATGTACAGTAATGCAGCTGTTTTGAGATTTCTAGGCTGGTGTCAACCTCGTCTATCAGTTGAAAGTCCAGAGGTGGACTTGAACCCACAACCATCTGCCTGAGAAGCGAGATTGCTACCAACTGAGCTAAAGTGCCACTTTTGCAACGGAAATAGTACTTAGCAAAAGGAATAATAGCTTCCATAGTGGAGGAACAGCACAATGCTGGGTTATTACCTCAACTACGAGAGAAGGATTGGTCAAAGTGATGTCCTTTATTGCGAACGCACACTCCCCTTTTTTTGATTCCCTCGCAAAAGCTGCCAGATGGATCAGATTGTGCTCATCACTGAAGTTCCCGTACCCAGCATAAGGCAGTTCAAAAGTGAATGTCTCATCTGAAAGGTAACTGAAGGAATTAAGGAACATGCCAAAAAACTCAGGTGTCATTCTTTTGAAAACATTCCACGTAGTATACAAAGAGTCAAAACATTTCAGGCAACTGACAGATCAGCCATGATCCAATTGAATGGCAGAACAGGATCGAAGAGCTGAATGGCCTACTCCTGTTCCTATGTTCCTATAACCTTTAATAACCTCAGTAAACAAAAATTTATACAAAAAAAACTCAAATAATTTCAGTATTTACCAAATGGTGAGTTATATCAGCCTTTCAATGCAAATGTTAGACAATTTTATACTGTATCCCAAGTATTTTTCAATGGTTTGACCATTACCATGGGATGCTCCATCCTAACAGCTCTCTAATATTACCTCGATTGATTAGCTTTTTTCCCGGATTCAAGTTGCCGGGCAAACCAAACAGATTGCATTGTTTCACAGCATCATTGTTGCTGGCGCGACTTCCTAACAGATTAGCTGGTACAAGTGCAATGGTGAAAGTTTGGGTATATAAAGTCATTAACTGCTTGTTTCCTTACCTTTCTTAGATTTAATTGAAATTTCCTTGTGCTCGACCTTTAGGTTTTGCTTCTCATATGTTCCATTGTACCTCTTCTTCTTGGCACAAAACTTAAGGGTATAGACCCTGTCATCAGCACTTTTGTTGGAGACTTTGACAAACACCTTAACTGTGCTTCCATTATACACAGGTGTATTGACATTCAGATTCAAATAGAGTAGCCTCTCTTTCTGCACATTCATATGTCTTTTGCTCAAATGAGCCCTTTCAGTAATTTGTCTTTCTGCAGTCGAACCTTAAACAGAAGCAAAGCCAAATTAGACAGGAGGAGCAACAAACTGCACATTTGCTGCCTTAACTATGATTTGGTCACTCAATCCATGACTGTTTGGAGGACACTGCTGTGTGCAATTGGCTGCAGCATTTCGCCCACAATATGTACAGTAAATTTCGTGAAGCACTTTGAGACAACTTGATGATGTGATAAGGCACTGTATCAAGTGCAAGGATTATTATTATTCAAACCTACGACAATATCATTCTTTCACAGACAATCTTGGAAACACACAGCCTTTCTCAGAACAGAGCTAAAAGTATATTCTCTTTGCTTGTGTTTTAGTTCTTGCTATCAATACCATATCAGTGAGTTACACTGTAACATTCTTGCTGTACCATGAAATATTTAATATTTCTCGTTGTATTACAATGCAGCTGATTCACTCCCCTGAAAGCAAAAGTGGTTAAGTGAGGGCCCAGTGTAACCCAAAAGATATCAATAACAACAACAATTGTAACTTGCACTTATATAGCACCCTCCACGCAGGGTGACATCTCAGAGCGCTTAACAGTGGCGGAGCCTGACTCTGAGCCAGGGGGAAGGGAGAAGGTGGCCGTAAGCAAAGTCAAAGAGGAAAGTTTTCAGACAAGACTTGAAAGATGGGAGAGAGGGGGCAAGGAGGAGAGATTGACGGAGAGTGTTTCAGAGTTTTGTGGCGTAGTGGCTGAAAGTATGACCTCTGATAGTGGGGCGGAGGATGCGATGGATGAGCAGGAGGCTGTTGCCAGTCGAGCGGAGGCAGTCGGATGGTGGGTTGGGGAATTAGGAGGTCAGAGAGGTGGGGAGGTGCTAGGGAGTGATCGGATTTGAACACGAGTGTGAGGATCTTGAAGTCAATCCATTCAGTTATGGGGAGCCAGTGGAGCCTGGGCCAAAACTGGTGAGATGCGTGTACGGAGTTTGGTCCGGGTCAGTATGCAGGCTACAGAGTTTTAAAATGAGCTGGATCTTGTGAATAGTGGAGCTGGGGAGACCGGTGAGGATTGCGTTAGAGTAATCCAAGCGGGAGGTGACAAACGCATGCACAAGAGTTTTGTCTGCATTTGGAGTAAGGTACAGTCGAAGGCGACCAATGTGGCAGAGGTGGAAGAAGGTTCAATCCACTGTTTGTGATGAGTTAGGTAATCTAAACTAGGGCACTGCAATTGTAATCTACTCATTATGTAGCCTTAAACATAGTAAATAACCAATAAATATACACATAAAACTATTTATTAAAAAATAGCCTGTTCAATGTGCCACATTTTTACAGCATAAATGTCATTAAGTCAATTTATTTCTCTGCTTTGTTCATTTAGACTATTATTCTCAATGAATATTCACAGGTTACAATATAAAAATTGCATTTGATACAGTGCCTTTCAAGTCAGGAGGGTTTTTCAACGTGCTTCGTGGGATTTATTGTAAAAGATAGCACCTTACACAACGTCCTTCTGATGGGATAGGCACTATATGAATGTAGTGATTGTTGTTCTGTAGACATACATGGCAGTCAATTTTGCACACAGCAATGTACACGGCCATGAAACAAGATCAGTTGTATCTGGGGAATTGTGACCAGGACAATGGGACAAACTCCCTTATTACACATTACTTTCATTTTACAAAAAGAAAATGTGTCTGGACAAAACAAGTTTCTATTACCGTTGATTTGTGCAAATTTTTTTTCCTACCTTCAGCATACTTATAATTGTTAGTGATGTCCTCACGTTCGTCTGAGCCAACGCTCTTGGTGCTGATAAAGCAGCCAACGGAGGCGGATTTAACATCCATCTTGACCTTTTTGCTCTCTTCAGTTAGGCAGAGCCATTTCACCACATCTGCATTGACCTCAGAAAATACAAATGGGACGTCGTAACCCACGTCAAAGTCTGCTTCTTTGATGGCTTTGACTGGAGCTGGCCCGCAGCAGTAGATCCCTTTTTTTAAAAAAAAACAAGGAAATGATTGAGACTGAGTTGCAGGAATTTTTTGCAAAATATGACAAAGAGGTTCTGAAACAAGGGTGGCAAATGCAACATGCAAATACTACAGAGAACAAAAAGAAAATAAGATGCAAGGCAGCGATTGATTCTTGGTTACGATCGCATGGTTGGGGGGGTGGGGGGGGCGAGGATCTAACTTTAAAAAAAAAGCAATATTTTCAATATTTATAATCAATACAATGAAAAATCTTATTTTAGATCCCATAAAAAGATTATTATCTTCAACAATCATTGATTACAATGTTTTTTTTATTTAGATAAACTCAAGTCTTCTCTCTTTTGTGCATTGCATACATGTAAGGCATGTTTTGTTTTGTGACTACCTCCACTTTTCTCCTGGGGTGTTGGATCCAACACTTGCCATCCCTCATTGCCTGGCCTCAGGTCAAACCGAGCGATCCACGACTCCACCCAGACGTGGAAATTCCTGAAATTCCACCAACAAGGAAAAGCCTCCATTGAAATGGAATTCTCAAAGAAAGACAACAACAAAATAACATTTGTATCGCGCCTTTCACGTCAGGAGGACATCCCAAGGCGCTGAAAGACGTCACCAATATACAGTTAATGCCGTGCATTATCATCATTATTATTAACAATAGTAATAATTTAATATAGCGCCTTTCATGTGTCTCAAAATGCTTTAACAGGATTTACTGTAAAGTGTAGTGATTGTGCATTTTGTTGGTGAATACCGCAATCAATGTGTGCACAGCAATGTTTCACAAAACAGCCATGAAGTGAATGACCAATTGTACTTGAGGAATCATTGGTTCAGGACACCGGGGAGAAATTCCCATCTCTTTTCGAATGGTCATCAATAAAGATTATGTGGTAGACAGCATGCAATCATAGACGTATTGTTGGTGCATTCATTTTTAATCTTAATCTCACCATACACTATCGTCCGAGTCGTCCATCTCAAACTTTTCACTGTAATAGTTATCAATCGTTAGGTTCCCATTTGCGTCATGAGCAGAATCAAAGTTTGTGACCACGCGGGTCGGAATTCCTAAACATCTCAGAACTAAATTAAAAGAAGAAAATGGTTATGTGCATGTTTGGGAGATATGATATATACGCACAGTGTATACTATAGGTCTAGCATAATAGGTACACCCTCTCCCCATCCTACCTCTGTAACCCACTGCACTTTACTGACCCAGTCGCTCACTCCACTCAGCAAACACCAGCCTGCTTTACATCCCCCATCCAATCCACTCACCATTGGTTGGCGAGTCTTCCATCACTGGGCCCCCTATCTGTGGAACTCCATTTCAGAAACCCTTTGACTCGCTCCTCAACTCGTTCTCCACTTTCAAAGCCTGCCTTAAGACTTACCTGTTTGATTTAGCTTTTGGTCATCTTTCCTCACCACCCCCCCCACCCCACCATCCCCAACCTCCACCACTGAGAGAGGTACCAGAGAGCAGTGAAACCTCACACCAACACGAGTCTTGCAAATGTTTGACTGCTTCATTTATTTGGGGAGTCAGTTATAACCACAGCACATGCTTTGTCATCTTAAGGTTCAAACCATCCTCTCCTGTACCTGTGCAGGCCACAGCTGCAAACACCCAGCACTGCCCATACAGAACTGGCTGACAACCAGACTGATTCCATTGACGAAGGATCTTGATACTTCCAGTCCATTTGCCTGGATATATTCCATCCGAATACGGTCCATTCCATTTACCACAAAGTATTCCGTTATCATCGTTGCAATTTACCTGAAAGGATGGCAAAGAGAGAATCTTCATTGGTATTACTCAGTTAGGTTGCACTAGCAGACTTGATGCATTGCCTTAAGGCTTAAGGCATTGTTGAACAATACTTTAATTTGATATTATGCCACTAACATTGAGACGTCTGAAAGAACGTAACAGGAAATTGTGGAACTCCATTTCAGAAACCCTCTGACTCGCTCCTCAACTCCCTCTCCACTTTCGAAGCCTGCCTTAAGACTTACCTGTTTGATTTAGCTTTTGGTCATCTTACCCCCACCCCCCACCCCACCATCCACAACCTCCACCACTTAGAGAGGTACCAGAGAGCAGCGAAACCTCACACCAACACGGGTGAAGTACTTGTCGGTAAACAGTTAATTTATACATAGCAGTGCCCTGAAAGCAGCCCTGTAGCAAAAGGGCAATTTAACTGTAGGGTTTTACTCATAATCCTTGTCTCACAACTAGCAGTTGAAGTACTTCAATCCTTACCATGGCTGACACTACTCTACAGATGTAAACAGGATTGTTCCTTTTCATGCAATCCCTGACTGGGTTCGTCTCGTATTTGATACTGTTGTTCAGCAACTTAAGGCAAATGTCCAGAATATCTTCTTCAAACTGGAAAAACAAAACATTTGTAATGATCCATAAATGTTGCAAGAGGACAGATACAGTATTTGGCTGAAATCTTTTCTCTGCCAAGGTTGTCTGACTCCTTTCCTGAAAACATTTGTCTTCCACCCCACGAGAATAGGTATCTTTCCACTTTCAAACCCAAGTGACCCTTATTCTTGTTCGAGTCTCGAGAATGATTGATGTTGACAGGCTGATTGGCCATGGGTGGGAGGGTGCGTGGGTGGATGGGCGGGTAACAGTCAAACCTAATTTTATCCTCAATTAACTCTCCACACGTGCACAGCTTCTAGCAAGGAGTGTATGGCTGGGTGTGTGCACACCCAAGCTGATAGCAACTAAATCATCACTTTTTAGTATTAATAATAATCCTTTATATAGTACTTTTCACATCATGTTTATATGTGACTGTAGGTAGCCAAATGCGCACAGCCACATCCCACAGACAGCCATGAATTGAATCATCTGGTGGACTGTTGGCCAGGGCACTGGGAGAAACTCCCTTCTCTTTTTGAATAGTGCTACAGGATCTTGGCACTATTCGAAATAGTGTCAAGTTCCACCTGAACAGGCAGATGTGACCTCAGTTTAATACCTCATCCTAATGGTGGCACCTTCATCAACGCAGTGTTTCCCCAGCAATGTGTTGCTGTAGCTTCTGTGTATGTAAATCTATGTATTTATGTCACACTCATTTCTTCCAGAGAGCAAAGCATTGGTGATGTTTTTAGTTCCCTGAAAGGGGAGATTCATTGTCATGATGGCTTTTGTCATTTTCAAAATGCCTACTGAATCAAAGAGTTAAATTTTGGGGAACAAAAGACCGATAATGGACAAGTTGGTGGTTTCCAATGGTTTGTCTTCCCGACATGAAAGGTGCTATACAAATGTAGTGTTGTTGTTGTTGTTGTCATCAATGCTTTTGTATTTAGACTGTTTTTTTTCTCATTCAGCAAGGAAGTAAAGGACTGTAGGGAAACCATTCAGATACAAGAAAATGAGAATAGCTGTTATTTTAGTGCAGTAGGAGTTTTCCCAGTTTAAAATACCTGTCCAAAATTCCACGGGATGTTATCAATATATGAAGAGCACCCAACAAATATTGTGCCTTGCTCATTCATCACATACTCCTTTCGTTCTTTATCGCTGTTCAGGAAGACTTCATCCTCTGGAAAAAATCAAGAATAACACACCAGGCAGATCAGTTGCAGTTTTGGTGCAGTTTCAAAGCCTGAGATATAGATCATTGAGAGCACTCCATTAGGTTGATAGCCAGCCTCAAAGTTGGTTCAGACACTGCTATGATCACACAACTAGATTACAGAAATTGGTCCTATGTGGGATAGGGTTACAACAGCTTGTCTACATACAATTACTTAATGACTTTTAAGGAGCATGAAAAATTCTTAGGTAAACCAATCCACATTTTCATCATGTTGAAATCAATGAGATAAAAGAGGACATTTTAACAGTATGTCTAATTGGCCAGTCAGTGTGTAGCATTGTGATTTCAAAATCTCAAGATTGAATTTCATTTGCCACTGGCTCTAACTTCACAATCACTGTAATCATAGGTTCAAAAAGAGCTGTACCTGAGCACCAGGGGTTGAAAAGCAGGACGATTGAACCAAGGTGGTAGCTCACTATTGGATCGGAATCTTTCTTGCACATATATAAATTGTAGGAACCAATTATAGCATTTGGAGAGGAGGATATGATCAGAAACAATTCTGTTTTGGTAGTCGATTCAGTCACTGCACTCCACCTCTTCACATTGATTGACTCCGTCACTGGGAACAAGATCTTAGTTCTGGACGATTGTGTAGGCTTCGGACCTGAAGTGAGTTGAGCAGAATTAGCTGAAAGCCTCAATCAATCGACCTTATTTATTTTTAAACTATTCTATTCATTTAACCCTTACCAGGCTGAGATCATATTGCTCAGTGTTAATGTAATCTTTCTTAAATGTACATTCGAGTAGGAAAGCAGAAGTTTCCTTCCCATCTCCTAAACCAATCTCCTGAGCACTCCGTAGACACCATGATACTCCATGATCATTAATAAATCATCTCTTCTTGTGCTATCTGTCACTCTTGCAGGTTTTGATATCATTTAAAGCGCCCATACACTGATCCATTCCCACATATCCCACATGTACATGCTACTGGAACAAAATATGGAGCTCTAACACAACATTTAAAATCTAATTGAAAATTATAAACATGACAAAATTAATTTACAATTTTCCCCCTTTCTATGTTAATGTCCACCTGCAAAATACACAGTCTGTACACTTTATAGTAAAATTCTGTGAAATGCCTTGAGATGTTCCACTTGACTAGTAATATATTGAAATGAATTACTATTGTAATGGAGCAGTCATTTCTAGGCGACTGACGAACCGATTACCTGTCTCAGCAACCAGAAAATAGTCGTCATCCATTGGATTGAATTCACAACCAGTGAAGTTCACCGTGATGCTGAAGGGTTGACCCCGTCTGACTATCAGTCGTTTGATGCTGATCTCATTAGTTCTGTGGGCACGGTTATTTTTCTCATAGTGGAGATCAACAGCATACGCTTGAGAAATTGCACTATAATCACCATCTTAGAGGAAACAAGAAATTTTTTTTAAAAAACCTTTCAACGCTTTGCATGTTTAAAGCTAGCATGTGAGCCATGCTCTATTTTTGTAGCATTCTCGGGTCAGAAGGTTGTGGGTTCAAGCCCCATGACTTCATAAATTTGAGCTCATAGCCGAGCCTGGCACAGCATTGCAATATATCGCATCAACATGTGTTTGGCAAGTGAGGTGCATGTTTGTCTTGCAGAAATTTCTTTGTTCTGCTGCACAATGTAGCACCTAGTGGCTGAAGACATGTTTTTCATGTTTGTTTAAGAAACCTGTATCCTGTTACAGGAGGGAGTTCAGGTGCCAAAAACTTGCTCCATCAACAAATGAGTTGAGATTTGCCAAACACATTCCACGTTGCACCCTGACACCCGACAAAAAAGCTCATCACACCTTCAATGAAACAAAAGCATATCTAGAACGAGGATTGAAAGTACACTCTTTTGTTCAAGTGTCAAAATAACTACTCTGCAGGAACTTCGGGATTGGAGACATTTGCCGCAAGAATAAAAATCCAGTGGATCGCTGGGACTAAAATTGCAAAAAGATGTAGTGATTGCCACACCTAACACAATGGTAAGTCTATAATAATTGGATATAAACATTGCTCCAGGCCTTTTTTAAAACCAGGAGATAAACACGTATTTACAAACAGCAAACTACAAGCGAATAAACAAGTCTATCTGCTATTCAAAATATAGATCCAATTTGCATTGCCTCAATCATTGGTCTTCATTAAAGAAAGGGCACAAAATATTTCACGTAATCTTAAATTGCAAGGTTGAGACCGGGTGTAATATAGTGCCTCAGGAGTTTACTTGAATTTGTACTTATTATATTTCCTTTGTTGTAATAAACAAATGTGGTTTTAGGTTCTGCAGACGCATTCATACTTAAAAATTTGCATTTATAAAATGCCCTTCACGTGGGTAGTGTCTTGAAGGACTGATTTATATTTAAATTTTTGTTCCAGCCTCTGGAATTTTAAGAAGCTTTGTGTATTTCTCTGCTAGTGTTATTTTTATTTTCTTTATCAGAATAACTTCAACAGAATTGAACGCTAAGGTCGGCAATTAAGGCGAGACAATTACTACTCTAAAATGTATCTTGGTGAGCAGGGAAAGGAGAGGCTGAAACATATTTGGAGTTTCTGTGGGAACAGTGAAGTAAAAGATTGTGATGATGCAGGAGGGCTAACATTTATATTTCTTGAAATTCAGTCAGCGCAAACCTGTTCAGTCATTTGGGAAACTAAGGTGCTGCCTTGCTTGTTCCAGAGCCAACATTCAAGATCTGTGGTAACACAATAAGTAATAAGAACAAATCCAAACAGGTGCTTTCAAAAAGGCTAACACCTTCTCTCTTAAATTCCATCTATTGTTGGGGATTATGTACATTAACATGGAGGTTTCCGAAAAACGGAAAATCAAGTACTAACTGCAATTCTATTCATTCAATTCCATTTTTATCCAAAGAGCTTTCTCACTGCCCTCTTTGTTTCTCTCATTTCTTTATGCTCTTTTTTCCACAACACACAGGATTTTTTTTATTGTTGCTTTCAATTATTTTAAGGATGCTTCCTTTTAAGAAGTTAAGAAGAGAGCACAAGACAGGTTAAGACAACCACGGAAGCAAATAAGACAATCAAACCCATAACAGAGCTGGTCATTATTTGGTGAATAACAATAAAAATAAATAATAATAATCCTTGCATTTGATATAGCGCTTTTCACATTGGGAGGACGTCCCAAAGTGCTTCACAGACCACATTGTAAAGTGAATTGACTGTATACTTGTGGGCGAACGCGGCAGCCAATTGCGCACAGCAATGTCCCACAAACAGTCGTAGATTGAAAATGACCAATTTATTATTGTTTTTTGGTTTTGGAGGGATTATTATTAGGCTCTGTGTGGAGTAAGGAAACTTGCCCAAGGTTTCGCCCTCTGCCTGGAATTGAACTCAGGTCTCTCGCTTGCAAAGCGAGTGCTCTAACCACTGAGCTACAGGACTCCGATACTGTATTATAAAATCAATCTCTAGAACATTGTTTAAGGATTACCAAAGAATAGGGACAGACAGGAATTTGATTGCACACAAAAATATTTATTGCTTGAGTGGATCTACCAGCATTCTATTCATGTCCAGAAAAAGAAGATTAAATCAGAATCTGCGCAAGAAACAAACAGGAAATAAAGAGCAGTAACAAACTCAGAGAGTGAATTGAGGAGAATTATTCCACAAGGTAACAATCTTTTGTTTGTACTCACATTTAGCCATATTGGATCAGTGAGAAGATTTCTCTCTTTCTCTCTCACTCACTCTCTTGCACTCAAATGCAAATGCATTCTTCTTTCACAGTTATAACAGCAGACTCAGAATAGGAATTTGCATACACTTAGAATATCAATTCCTGTTTAGCATCAACTCTCTATGATTTGCTTGTCTGAGTTAAAGGCGTGAGTGTTGCCTTCATGAAAGAGTGTTGGACAAATGTTATTGGCCAATTGCAAATGGAAAATAAACCCCCTCACTCCATTGTTTCCACAAGATCTCCCTGTACTGCTGTTCTCTCTCAAAAGAATAGAGAGAATCTCCCCCACATCCTCTCCAAAAAAAATTGTCAAGCATCTTTTATGAACGCAGAACCCCTTTAAATCAGTAAACTCTTGTTCCGAATGTGTGAGCCTTTGAAAACCAAAATGCCTTAACAATACAAATTTCAATATCATTAAATCTGTAAATCTTGAAACATTTTCAAAAGAGAGATGAGTACAAGCATTTTCAAAGCCAATCATACTTTGTGATAGCTCAATTCCGAAGAGTCTCTGAGTTATTTGTTTTAAGTAGCTTTGTGCTGACAATGAACAGTATTTATGACTGATGGGATCAGTATTTAGCTGAATGATTTGCAACAGCCAATCCATATGGGTCAGTCAGTTCAACTTTTGATGCTGGTTTAGCAATGACTTAGCTGTTGGATTTCCCCATTGGAGGTAGCACTGATTGTAAAACGAAGTAGAACCAGGCGACAAAGGGTCCTATCCTAACCCCCATACACAACTCTATCCAGGTCTCCCACTAAAATCCAGACACGATTCATCAGTGTTAGGTGCACAAAAACTGCAAGTATATCGCAATGTCATGAGGTCTAATTTGTGGTATTTCTTAATGAACATTCTTCAGCGTTACATGCCACAGTGCCCACACGAATGTCCCAATATTGTATTGAGATGCCATGGTCTTGAGTTTGCAGTATTTCTTAATGGAAATTCATCAATGTTAAATGTATGTTAATTGCACAAATGTCACGTTGATGCTCAGGATCATAATCACTGCCATGGGTCCATTTTAATAATGATAATAATCCTTGTCTTATCACATCGCTGAGACGTCTCAAAGCGCTTCACAGAATGTATTGCAAAATGGATTGAGAGTGTATTTTGTGGGTGAAACAAGGAATCTGAATTATGCAAATGGAGAGTTCTTCCATTAGTCGGCGGCACATCATGCGACTTCTGTTCCATCTGACCTGTTTTCTAGTCATGCTAACACAATTACGGTCAAGAAACACAATGATGCGGAAAGATATTAATCCCATGAGTGCTGCAGACACTGACTGAGCAAAACATGACCTTGTCAGTAGGATTGTCCCATTGGTTTTTGACTGGTTTTGTGTCAAAGATTAACTTGGTTGCATCTAGGATATGGTCGTTTTGATCTTATCCTTTATTATTAATAATAATAATCATAAGCCTTGAATTTGGTATAGCGCCTTTCACATCTGGAGGACGCCTCAAAGTGTACCTGAATAGTAATATGTTGTTTCAGCTGTGACATTGCACATGTCTGTGTAATATACAAACACATGATGCAATGACATCAACCAGGTAGAAAGATAACCGTACTAGATCCCTTGGTGCACAAGTCCAAACCTTCAATAACAAAGTTGACGATACTGAGGCAATTTTCCATATGCTTGACAAGCATATAACTAGTCATTTATGTCTTCATCAAAGTGCTTTGTTGATCAGTGCAGAAGAATAGAATCCATGCATTGCACGGTTAGCTATAGCAGCAGAGTCCAAGGCAACAATTGATATTGCAATCAGTCTGGGGAAGTCTGAAATTTGTCTCCTTTTGCCACAGAATGTTTCCAAGAAATATTTTCAGTGGTTTTGATGTAAATAAATATTAATAATAATCATCCTTGCATTTGATATAGTGCCTCATCATGTCTTTTTGAGACTTCCCAAAGCACTTCACAGAATATACTATAAAATGAATTGACTGTACATTTTGTGGGCAAAATACGGCAGCCAATTGTGCATAGCGGTGTCTCACAATCAGTCATGGCTTGAAGTGACCAATTTATTCTTTTTTTTTGGAAGGAATTATTACCCTTGGAAAAGTGATTCGCCAATCGACTGACAACCGTGTTCCTACTTACTGCTAGGTAAACAGAGAAGCATGGATTAAGGAAACTTGCCCAACATTTCGCACTGCCAGTAATTGAACCCAGGTCTCTCGTTTGGGAGGCGAATGCTCTAACCACTAGGCTACATGATTCCATGTGTGGATTGTCCACACCCAGTTTCAAGTAGTAGGTGGGGTGAGTAGGAAAAACAGGTGTGCTAGGACCTAAACAAATGTTTATGTCTGTGGCATTTCACAACCAATAGTAAATTGCTGATGGTTGCAAAATGTGTGATTTTAATTATGTATATGTGCTTAAGTGGTTGGTGTTGTTGACCCATTTAAAAATATATAAGTACCTTCCCCTTCATTTCAGCTGGAATTGTAGAATCATCATCATTCTTTGTAGATATTAGCCTCAAGGTCATGAAATAAAAGATCATGCAAATTATGCAACTGGTAACATAACAACATGTAGGAGCAGGAGTAGGCCATTCGGCCCCTCGAGTGTGCCCCGCCATTCAATCGTGGCTGATCTTCTAATCTAACTCCAGCTAATAACCTAATCATGCCTTATCCCTATATCCCTTAATCCCTTTTGCAATAAGAAATCTATCTATCTCAGTCTTGAATATGTTCAAGGACTGAGCGTCAACAGCCCTTTGGGGTAGTGAGTGCCATACATTCACCACCCTTTGAGTGAAGAAGTTCTTCCTCAACTCAGTGCGAAAGGGCTGGCCTCTGATTTTAAGGTTGTGACCCCTGGTTTTAGTTTCTCCAACCGGGGAAACAATCTCCCACTATCTACTCTATCATACCCTTTGATGATCTTATAGGTTTCTATAAGATCCCCTCTAATTCTTCTATATTCTAGAGAATATAGGCCCACATTGGTCAGCCTATCCTCGTTACTCACCCCCTTCATCCCTGGTACTAACCTAGTAAATCTACGCTGCACCTCCTCCAAAGCAAGTACATCCTTCCTTAAATAAGGAGACCAAAACTGCACACAGATTCCAGGTGTGGTCTCACCAGGGCCCTATACAGTTGCAGCAAACAGAATGGTACTGAAAAACAGGATGGGGTTTGTCATCTCCAAACTCGAAGTTAAATCCTACTGTTTGCTGCCGGAACGAATGTTACTGAAAAAAAAGTTGCCACTCTGGAGGTCAACAGTTGATTGCTGGCGTCCGTGTCAAACTGAGATCTTTGAAAAATTGACTTGTGATGGAGGTAAAAATGCTGAAACTCCTATGTGTAAAACCCTCTCTGTATTTCCAAATTCCAGATTTCAAAATATAAAAGGGGTATAATGTTACAATAACAACCAATTGCATTTGTACAGTGTTCTTGACGTAGATATCATCTTGGAGAGTTTAGAAGCTATTGAAAGAAACCAGTAAATGTGGATTCAATGGACCTGCTTTTGCCTGTGATATTTCACAGGTGGTTGCAACAAACACATTGAAATGGTAAGAAAATCCCAACCTCCACTGGAGAAACAGCTGATGCCTGCAAATTTTACATAATGTTCACTGTTGCCTGTTGGATAATTGGCCTCTTTAATCTATTTCCAAACGTAAGTGTTTTGCATCACACCCATGCACTTTGCTGCTATTATTTGCAAACAGCAGAAACTATGCTGAATACAGACCACTGTGATTTTTTTTGTTTTTCCCCAGCTGGGTGTCTGTCTCGGACAGAAACCCATCACCATGCTTAAGAGCGTCCAAACCAGACCAGAGATTTCCCTATGGAAACTTCCCAGTGCCTGGAAATGGAATGCACACCCTCTTCTTTGAAGGTACGCACGCTACTTACTTAATTCCAGAAAGTATTAGATTTGGTTGGCAAGAGTCAAGCTTTGGGGATCCCAGGTGGGTACTGCTGGAGTTTAAAACCGCGCAACTTGCTGAGAACACTGTCTGGCAGCGAGGATGGCCCTACTCAACCCATTAAGGCGTTGGTTTTCAGGTCTTTATAAATTAAATACTTCTCTGTTTCTCCCTGCGTGGATTTCACTGAGGATTATTAAGCGCCTCTCCACTTCTAACTTCTTTATGGAACCAGTACTGACATACATTGACAAGAGTGACTGTGGCAATTAGGTTCAATGTGTGTGTTGAGTAAAGATAAGCTGAAGACACAAATGAGTTGCAAAGTGCTGATCATTGTAACAATGTAAAGATTAAATAACAACTAAGAGCAGTCATGTTTGCCACAAGTTGTTGAATTTCCGGATATGATATGGAAGTCACACTGACACAATTTATGCTTTAATTCTTAAAAGAGAATTTCTCCCACTGTCCTGACCAACAATCCCCCGGATACAATTGTTCATTCACTTCTTGACTGCTTGTGTGACATTGCTGCGTGCAAGTTGACGTCCTTGTCCGTCTACAAATAAACAGTCACAACACTCCACAGTAAATCCCGCAAAGCACTCTGAGACATCCTTCCGAGATGAATGAAAGGCGCTTGATCAAACGCATGGATTATTACATAGCGATGCACCTCTCTTGTAGTTTTGTGATCTCTTCTGAAAGAGATTGCGTGATGTAGTCGCCATTCAGTGTTCCTTAAAAAATTCAAAATTGAGTTCTTATAGAATAAAAAAGTATAGGAGGGCTTCGTGAAAAAAACAATTGACCCCATTTCTGTGGAGGTACTTTTCATGTAAATACTTTACTTTGGTGTGTCGGAACTAAAACCTCCTTTGTGAACTACAGTTTCTTTGCACCATATCCCTCAATGCCCCGACCTAACAAATATTTATCTACCTCCACCTTGAAAATGTGAATGGAACCAGCGTTTGAGTATTGCTGGATTCCAACCAGCTAACACTGGGTAATAAATAATCCTTGCATTTGATATAGCGCTTTTCACGTCGGGAGGACGTCCCAAAGCGCTTCACAGAACACACTGTAAAGTGAATTGACTCTATATTTGTGGGCGAACGCGGCAGCCAATTGCGCACAGCAATGTCCCACAAACAGTCGTGGATTGAAAATGACCAATTTATTATTGTTTTGGTAGCCATTGAAAGCGTTGTCTGGCAAGCATTCCCTCTGCTTTTCCAGTGAGGACTACTATACCAATTAGGGCTGGGGCCTGCAAGGTTAACAGGAACTCAATGTGAAAAATCCCTGGCCCTGGTGGCTGGTGTGCCCTTCCAAGTCCTGCCAATGAATCTGGTTGGCTGGGTTTGAGCCCTCACTAGGTGAAATAAAGATACCAGGAGCTCCTTGAGAGCAACACAGCTCAGCATGAAATGTGTGAGAACATTGCCACCATCTTCCTGCCCATAGCTCAGACACATATTCCTTCCCATTGAGCTGTAGTTCGATCAGTTAAAGGTGAGGAATGGCACAAGATTTTACAATGTGTTTCAGTCCTGAATTCCCAGGTCCAGACGTATCTTCCAAACTTGCCTGCAAGATTCAAGCAAACTGCAAATGGATAAGATCAAACTAGTTAGGACTAGTGGAGTCCTGTAGTTCAGTGGTTAGAGCACTCGCTTTACAAGTGAGAGTCCTGAGTTCAATCCCAGGCAGGTCAGGGCCAAACCTTGGGCAAGTTTCCTTACTCCACACAGAGCCTAATAATAATCCCTCCAAAACAAAAAACAATCATAAATCATTTTCAATCTACGACTGTTTGTGGGACATTGCTGTGCGCAATTGGCTGTCGCGTTCGCCCACAAATATCCAGTCAATTCACTTTACAGTATATTCTGTGAAGCGCTTTGGGATGTCTAGAAGACGTGAAAAGTGCTATATCAAATGCAAGGATTATTATTATTATGATGATTATTAGTTCTCGGACAGGTGTTTAAAATTCCTGTCCTGAACTTTGATTTTGTGTCCCTTCCCATCCTTCTCTACCTCGATCTCTGAGCTATTGTCTAACCCATCAAACAATAATTGAACATGTCAAAAGAAAAGGAATTTGGAAATTTGAACCAATACTGAGGGAGTGGTTCCATTAACAGGCAGTCTGAACTGCAAAAAAAGAGAAATGGACAAACCGGTTCCTCAAGATAAACTGCCTGGAGCATACTAACACTACTAATAATAATCCTTGCATTTCATATAGTGCTTTTAACACCTTCTAGACCTCTCAAAGAGCTTCACAGAATACAACAACAAGATTACATTTGTATAGCGCCTTTCACATCGAGAGGATGTCCCAAGGCACAGCATTTCAGACCAGAGCTGCGGTCAGAGGCGGGAGAAGGGAGGGGAGAGGAAGGCGGGTGGCCAATGGCATGGTTGAAGAGGAGGATTGGGGGCAGAGTGGCTGAAGGCTCTCCCGCCAATAGTGTGGCGGGTGGGTTGGGGGACGTGGAGCAGGCCGGAACTGGCTAAGCGGAGGGAATGGGCAGGTTAGTAGGGGGTTAGGAGGTCACAGAGGTAGGGTGGGGTGAGGCCATGGAGGGCTTCGTATGTGAGGACCAGGATCATGAACTGGATCCTCTGAAGGATAGAGAGCCAGTGGAGTCGGGCGAGAGTGGGTGAGATGGGGTCATGGAGTTTGGTGCGGGAGAGGACACGGATTGCAGAGTTCTGGATTATCTACAGCCTGTGGAGGGAGGAGTTAGGAAGGCTGCCAAGCAGAGTATTTGCACAGTCGAGCCTGGAGGTAATAAAGGCATGAACAAGAGTTTCAGTGACCTGAGGGGTGAGGTCAGGGGTTGTCACGGAGTGAGGGAAGGCAGAGCGGGTCATGGCTTGAATGTGGGGGAGAAAAGACAGTTGAGGGTCGAACAAGAAACTTAGGTTCCTGACTGGCTTGGTGAGTTGTAGTTGGCCCCCAGGGTGAGGATCAGAGCTCATCACCCCACCAGGGTGAGGGTCAAGTCTCATCAATGACGAGCGACATACTCGCTGAACCGTGGCTGTTACCCCCAAAGCACACTCTGGGGGGGGTTAGTCCCATCAGGGAGAGAGTCCCCACTCCATGTCAGATGTAGTCACTCCACTGTACGTGTCATTTTTTTTTAAGCTCACGGGAAGCGAAATGCTTGGTCTATGCTTGATAAGTGAATCTCCGACTCTGCTCCAGGCTCCCCGGCTCAGGGAGACCTCGACTTCAAGCCCCAGGGCTCCCAACGCCCCAGCTTGTATCTGGCCGACCCACAGCCAGCCCCATGCGCCTCAAGGTCCGTGAATGCCTTGTGAACCCAGCCTCCTGACCATCGCCATCTTCAATAGACTGTAAAGTGAATTGACTGTATATTTGTGGGCGAAACGCAGCAGCCAATTGCACGCGGCAGCGTCCCATAAACAGTTGTGGATTGAGTGACCAAATTATAATTGTGTTGTTTTTGAGGGATTATCATCCCCCAAAAAGTGATCCACCCGTTAACTAACAACCGGCTCCCTACTTAATGCTTAGTAAACAGAGGCATGGGGATTAAGGAAACTTTCGCAATATTTAGGCTTGCTGGGGATAAAACTCAGGTCTCTCACTTGCGAGGCGAGTGTTTTAACCAGAGCTACAGGAGTCCAATGTGTACTAAAAGTACTGAGAGACACAAAACAGTATAATGTATGCTTTTCCCCCCTACAGCAGTTGACGTGGTAACAAATTACCTTCATAGAAAATAATAATTGATTCAACAGATATCTTTTAAATCCCCCATTGCTCCAAGATTTTGGACCAACCCATGTCTTCCTATCTCATTGCATTGGGGTTTGTATGCCTTTATTGAGCCTGTTTGTATCCCTCTGTCTTGCCCCTTCCATCATGACCTTCAAAACCCACCTTAAGACCTATCTTTTCCACCGGGGTTTCTGACAGCTTTCATGTAGGGAGGAAAAAATATCTCAAAGCTCTCCACCTCACTTGGAAGATAACAAACAAAATTCCTGAAACAACTTAATAGAAATAATAATAAATAATAATAATTACATTTGATGTAGCGTTTTACATGTTGGGAAAACGTACTGTAAAGTGCATTTGGATGAAATACTGTAGCAGCCAATTAGCCCCGCAAACAGTTATGAAATAAGGAATCTATTTTATTTGGGGGATGGTTGGCCAGGATATCGAGAGAAACACTGGGAGAATGGTTTATAAACTTTATGGAAATGTCAAAATAAGTAATCAAACCAAAACAAGTACAGTAATTCATCTGAAGAGGCATATTTCTCAAGTGGGGGAAAAGGATGGAAGAAACAGACATCTGAAATAGACAAGCAGTGAAATTGACAAGAAATGAAAGTGACGAAAGGTGAAAGTGACAAAAGGGTGAATGCCGTGGAGAAAAAACTCTTAAACAGACCCGAGCTGAAAACTGAAAGGGAGAGAATGAAAACGTGAGAGAAATACAAAGACACAACGACTGTAGATGGACTTAAAAATAATGAGTGAAAGGAAAGCTGGAGACAAAGCAACAAAGATAATTTTCCCAATAATGTAATTTGTGTTATTGGCTGTTTGAATTATTCATACAAAACCAGACAGGTGATAATTATTGTTCTTTAATTTCCCAGCAGATCATGATTTGGAAAAAAAAATTAGAGCAGGTGTTACAGGGAGAGAATGCCGCAGGCACATTTGCTCCATTGTGAAGTACTTTGAAAGTTATTTTCTACATGAAAGGAGCACTGTACCGAACACATGTAAGATGTTTGCACTGCTCACTTATAGAGGGAGATTGCTTTGAGCGAGATCTACTGGTAGAATTTTGATTATAAAATGTTCCACGATTTGGGTTTAAAACAAATTCGAGAGAGATGCAAGATCCAAACGTGGAAATTTCCATGTTGAGACTTGATAGCAGCCCACGATAATGACTCTGCTATCCGACAGGGTAGTGCTTTAGGTCCTATCAACACAATAATATTGTTCACTTCGCATATCAATGTATTTCACTCCGCAGTTGATTTCTCCATTTATATTTTTTGAAACCCCAAGCTTTAGAAATGTAGAACATATTACAGCGCAGAGACCCTCCATCAGATGACCGCATTCCACACTTGCCGTTCAGTATTCCTTTCTCATTGTAATAATCATCCTTGCATTTGATATAGTGCTTTTCACCTCTTCTCGACGTCTCAAAGCGCTTTACAAAATAGACTGTAAAGTGAATTGACTGCATATTTTGTGGAGAAATGCGGCAGCCAATTGCGCACAGCAGCGTCCCCACAAACAGTCGTGGACTGAAGTGACCAATCTTATTGTTGTTTTTCTTTTTTTCTCTCGAGGGATTATTATCAGGCGTGTGGGAGTAAGGAAACTTGCCCAAGGTTTTGCCCTGCCGGGAATCGAACCCAGGTCTCTCGCTTGTGAGGTGAGTGCACTAACCACTGAGCTGCAGGACTCCTACAGAAAAGGATTATTGCATTTCATTTGAACACTCTGAAAAAATATCCATGACCCTCTTGAATAAACCACCTGTTAAACTTGACTAATGCCAAAAACAGTTGAGCAAATTCCAAAATAGTCAACTCCCCAGTAACCTAACTTTAAAAGCAAAGAGCCTAAGGTGAAACCCATAAGGCTTATACAGTTTAAACATCAATAATTTGGATCGGGTCCCATTTACTACAAACAAAGAACAATTTGGCTTCCATTTACTGATTGAAACTTGGCCTTTTTGTTTGTTTTGTATTGAACACACCTCTTCATTTCAAAACACCCTGCCTTGGAAAAGGTTGAACCAATTACAAAACCACAAAAATGATCTGGGTGTTAAAAGCAGCCCAGTTGCTTGAAATATGCAAAAATAAATTTAAAATACTCACGCACACACTGGGTTTTCAGCAAAGCCACTCCAATGTCAGATCAGTGCAACTTCAAAGAAATAATACCATTAACAGCAAATTAATCCAAAATTGCTTTATTTAATCACTATCGCAGTGACCATACATTCAAGGATTTTCATGGAAATCTCATATTAAATCACTTTTGACTCAAACGCCAGACTAAAGCATATGGATTGAATTCCATAATACACTGAAGCAGGCATACATAGAGCACTGAAAGTCTTTTAGGGGAAATTCGTATTGAACTGCAGGCAGTTTTACTCTGTGGACTCGTGTCGACTGAATACTGGTCTGGGGCTGGACAAACTCACTTCACATACGAGCCTGAAAGCCATCAGATTTTAAGCCCTTAAAATCCGGAGTGGTCGAAGACCAGGTCCCAGTGTCCTTACTAACTATTGCCTTTTGTTCCCAATTATATTCGGGGGTGGAATTGAAAAGTCGAGCCTTGTGTTAAAAGCTGAATTTACTGTTGAAAATTCTACTGCAGTTTTGAAAGCATTAATGATCTTGCTAAATTCATAAATTCAGCAGTACATGCAAGCACTTCAGTATATCAACAGTAAATGGCCCCAGGATAGCACAGCAATGATAGTCGGATATATTTAAACAAACAGTGGTAGCAGTAATCGCCATCATTCATTTGCTGCTCTTCTCTTTCCAGCCCAAGGATTTTCTGAACACAGCACTCGGCTGTAAACATCTCTTGTTGGTTAAATACTACCCTGCGTTAAATTCTTTACTTTGCCTATGTTGTGATCGATGGCTGCATTTAGAAATTCCACCCAGTTGGCCTCTGACTCAGAACACACATGACAGAACCTGTAAGAACAGGAATAGGTGTTAATACCAAATGGAAACAGTTCAGCACATGAGAGTCCTGTAGAGTGTGTGACTTCCTGATTTTATTTTTAAAAACACACCTCAAGCTGCAGAACAATTAACATAGTTTATAATAGTCCTTGCGTTTGATATAGTGATTTTCACGTCTTCTAGGCGTCTCAAAGCTCTTCACAGAATATGCTGTAAAGTGAATTGACTGTATTTGTGGGCGAAATCCAATTCAACCTCAATGTTTCTTGCAGTACAAAGTGTTGGCATTAAAAATGGACCCAGGAATGAGTCGCTTTTCCTGCTCCCATATCATATACAGTATAAAGACCAGCATGGACCAGTTGAGCTGAATGATCCATTCCGATGCTATATCACTCATTACATTAATAATAATCTTTTGCATTTGATATAGCTCCTTATCACGTTATTGCGACATTAAAGCACTTTTAGAGAATTTGTAATGCATCGTGCAGTGACTGTATTTTATAGACAAACCAATTTGCGCACAGCAATGACAAACAGTCATGACATGGAGTCCTGTAGCTTAGTGATTAGAGCGCTCGCCTCGCAAGTGAGAGGACCTGGCTTCAATTCCCGAGCAATGCAAAATGAGTACGTTTCCTTGTTCCTAGCAAGAAGTAGGAACCCGGTTGTTAAATCAATTGGCTTTTCTGGGGAGATTAATCTGAGAGTTTTCTGAGATTAATCTCTCAGAAAATAAATAAAAATAATAATTTGGTCACTCAATCCATGACTGTTTGGGGGACACTGCTGTGCACAATTGGCTACCGCGTTTACCCCACAAAATACACAGACAATTTACAGTATATTCTGTGAAGCGCTTTGAGACGTCTCGAAGACGTGATAAGGCTCTGTATCAATGCAACGATTATTATTATGAAACAATGTTGAGGATGGTGGGGGGGAAAGAGGGAAAAAAGGGTGCTGGAATGTTCAACTCAATTAAATAATTGAATTAAACCATCTCAAAACAATCCTAAATTTCTCAGCGCTTCATCGAACTCACTTGGTTATTTCCAGAACTTTCTTCAGGATAGAAGCCAGATTTGCCGCCTGAAAACAAATATGCAAACGTTAAAGAATGGTTTAAAAATATAATTAAAGCAGCCAAAAGCACTGGGTGCAATCTTCTGGCAGAAATTCTACATTCTTGCTGTGTATCTGGTTGCAGGCGAGCACATCCTTTGCAATCAGCCATGACGGGCCTATAGTGCTGAATAGCACAGACACATAAGGTCCCACCTGCAATTTTCCATTCACTGAGTTAACAAGAAGTTGAGCAGGTAACCTTCGAGTACGTACAGGACGATGGCTTTGGGTAAGACCACTGTTTTGATGGTCCTTTCACTGTACGGAGGTGCTTCATCTCTGTGCTCAACAACTGTCAGAAAAACAAAACTAAACTCGAACCCAAAGTACAAGAGGTCACATTACATTTTTCCAAAGCACTGTGGTTCCTCAGACACACCGCCTAGAATTAAAACTATGGAGAAAGGGTACAAATTTTACCGCTGAACAGCTAAGTTACTTCAGCTGTTTTAATTGATTTGTTCATTCTCTTACAAGCTACTCAAGTACTCACGTTGAATCGTACTGCAGTGTGGCTCATTGGAGGATACAGACTTAAAGCCAAATCATCAATACTGAGGGAGGAAAGAAGTATTTCAGTTCATTGCTGCCCGATGAACAGGTATACAATAAATGGAATAACCATCACACAAATCAAGAGAACAATTGGGCTGGGCAGGTTCCACAGTTAGGTCTCATGTATGTAACAATTACATGAAACGTGTAACTGGATCACAACATAGGTTCAGATGAAATACCTTCAGCCCAGTTATCTTTACCAGAAGTGGCACGCTTATACGATCTACATTGGTAAGATATTGTCCCCTGCATCCTCTCACAGTACATTAAATTCCACTCTAACGTGTTACCCAGTCTAGAATCAAATACAACTTACCTGGGACTGATCTCATTGGTAACATCCGCTAAGTCATCCAGCTGTGCTATATGCTGCAAGTTGTCTGTCTTTCCGTGAGCTTTCACTGCACCAGAGACCTTTTTCAGACACGCTTTGGATGCCTTCATCAACCCTAAACAGGGAGCCATGACCTGCCGATCTGCCTCAGACCAGTAAGTATCCTGATTTCCCCGCGCGTCTAAATCTCCATCATCTAAAATGTCACTGAATGGATCGGGATTATCTTCATGCTGAGCCTGTGAATTACAGAAAACAAACATGTCTCATTCTCTAAGCAGCACAGGCAACGTGTTAATCCTTAAGCTTTACTGCAGTTGTGGTTCTTAAATGCGCATGTTCCAATGTCTATCAATGTGATATCAGCCATAAAACTTATAGTCATAAATTAGTGGTCCTCTTCAAGTGATTATTCAATGAATTGTAAATGAGTCTCAGTCTCAATAACCACATGTGGTTTCATGATCATGTGTTTCATGATCAAATAATTCTCCAGATCAAAATGTTTCTAACCTCTCTCAATTCTCGCAGGGACAACTCTGAGTCAATGTCTGTTTACACCTCCCCTCCTTCCCCTCATAAGCTATTCTCTCTCCATTAGTGTCCTGTGGAGTACTTGTTTATCTCAGTATACTTATCCCAAAATTCTTCTTCAATTATTCTTCAATACTGTCCACACACACATAGCCTGCTCCACGTCTTCCGACCCACCCGCCCCACCATTGGCGGGAGAGCCTTCAGCCACTCTGCCCCAAACATCTGGAATTCCATTCCCCAATCTCTCCGCCTCAGCCCCTCCTTAGCCTCCTTCAAGTTCTTCAAGTCCCGCGTCCAGACCTTCCTCTTCAACCATGCCATCGGCCACCCCCCTTCCCCTCCCCTCCCTTCTCCCCCCCTGACCCCAGCTCGGGTCTGAAGTGCTGTACACTGTCCTGCGCCTTGAGAAGTCCTCACGACATGAAAGGCACTATACAAATGTAATTTGGATGTTTAAATTAATCCAGGGGATAACCAAGAGTGAAAAAACATTATCCAAATGTTGACCATATCTGTAATTTACCACAACATTTGAAAGTCTCTATTTCAGGTGAAAAAATTACATGTCTGAATGCGATCAAAGTAATCTCATCCATCAATTTATTAACAAAGGAGCTCAAAACAACTATAGATTTTGACTTTGTGATAATGTTTTCTAACATCCGGCTAACTTCTTCCACAAATGGCTTTTCCTCCACTCCCCGCACTTTCCACAAACGGTTTTTCCTCCACCTCCCGCACTGTCTCGTGCGGTGTCCCTCAGGGCTCTGTCCTCAGTCCCCTTCTCTTCACCCTCTATATGCTCCCCCTTAGTGACATCATCCGCAGACATGGGGTTAACTTCCACATGTATGCGGATGACTCCCAACTCTACCTTTCCTCCTCTCCCCTCAACTCCACGACCACCGATGTCCTGGTGGCCTCAGCGCCTCCGCACCGGCATCAGCATCAGCATCCAAGGCTGCACTCTCCACCTCTCAAAGCCGTCAGGAACCTCGGGGTTCTGTTCGACCCTGAGTTGTCCTTTCTTCCCCACATCCGCGCCATAACTGGCACCGCCTTCCATCACCTCCAGAACATCGCCAGACTACGGCACTACCTCACCCCTCACGCTGCTGAAACTCTGGTCCACACCTTTATCACCTCAAGGCTGGACTATGGGAACTCTCTCCTCGCCGGCCTTCCCGGCACCTCCCTCCACACTGCAGGTCATTCAGAACTCTGCAGCTCGTGTACTGTCCCGCACCAGACACCGCGACCACATCACTCCCACCCTCGCTCGCCTCCACTGGCTCCCCATTCCCCCAGAGGATCGATTTCAAGGTCCTCATCCTCACCTATAAGACCATTCACGGCCTCGCTCCCTCCTACCTCTCTGACCTACTATCCCCCTGCCTACCCGCCCATACCCTCCGTTCCTCTGGCTCCGGTCTGCTCCACATCCCCCGCCCCAACCGCCCTACCATCGGTGGCCGGGCCTTCAGCCTCTCAGCCCCGAGGCTCTGGAACTCTATCCCCCAGTGCCTTCGCCGCCTCCTCCCTTTCCTCCTTCAAGGCCGGTCTCAAGACCTTTCTCTTTGACCGAGCCTTCAGCTCCCCTCTCAACTCTCTACCCCCTCCACGTTCCCTCCCTTCCCTCCCCTCACCCTGACCATTTCCCCCCTGCTCGGGTCCTGACCCAACTGTCCAGCGCTTTGGGACATCCTCCTGACGTGAAAGGCGCTCTATAAATGGAATCTTGTTGTTGTTGTTGTTCTTGATCTTTCATCTTCACAAGGAACAAATAACAACCCTTGCATTTGATATGGGGCCGTTCACATCGGGAGGATGTCTCAAAGTACTTCATAAGATTTACTGTAAAATGTGACTGTGTATTTTTTGGCGGAAGCAAATATAATTATGGAGCATCAGTGCAGTGGTGAAGTTGATCCATACCAAATTAAACACTATCAGGGCATTGCAGCAATGGTTACAGCACCACAGAGTGGCAAAATACAGCTACTACAATAAGTGGTTAAGTCAGTGAATGATGTCCAGATCAACTCGCAGTTATATTATCCTAAATGTGATACACTGAAGGCATCAACACACAGGTACAATAGTGGAGCATAGGCTGAAATGCCTACTCTTCTCAAAGTGCTACTCTTGTGAGACACCAAGTAGCAAACATCTGAATCTCTATGGGAAAGCAAGAGCCAGATGGAACGACGACCACAGATTGGTCTGGACACCTGATAACCAGACCACAGCATGTGAAAAAGAGAATAGACAGCTCAGATTTAAATTACTCAACACATAATTGAATAAACAGAACACACCGCCCAGGAAGACGAGAAGATTGGCAGTGGGAACCAATCTGAGAGCAAGCTGGAGCAACCTTTTGTTTTTACCTGTTCCATTTCCTCCAAAGCATCTTTTACAACGGAAGCATAGGACGACATTACGGATAAAACAGCTGCCTTGTTATCTGTGGGACACAAGGACAAATCGGATATCAATTGCGTCTCACACTTGGCTAGATCAACCAAAAAGCGAATTGATTACAACTGATAAAAGTAACAGCCCAAAAAAAAGTTACAAGAGTAATTCACAGAAAAAGGAACAAAAGCACATAACGTACATACGGACCACAGTGAAATCAAACTATTATAGGAGCTCTGTGAAAACTCTGCAAACATTTAGATTCTTGGGGGTAAATTCCTTCTGTTATTACTCGTAAACAGTTGAAGGTTGTTTCTGATAGAGACAAGGAATATGGATTCCCAATAAAGAAATTGTGATAAGGTCAATATCTTGATTAGTTAACTCCAAGTTGGAGTTCATAATTTGCCAGTAATTCAACCACAGGTAGAGCTGTTAGTCAATTACTGGCACAGACCTATTTTTAATGATTCATTTACCAAACTTTAATAAAAGGAACACTGGGATCTTGAATTTATTTGCTATTTATTTGCAATATTTTATTTGCATTTTCCTCTGTTTTTACATTCATAATTACAAAATAATTTCTCATCTGAGAGATGCATAGCGAGCACCTTTCGAAATTTACACATTCACGCCACCTTTTGGTATCCGAGTAAATTGATCGCAAGCTTCCCAAACTCCACCAGTGGACATCAGCTGGTCCTGTGACAAACTGAAACCAAATAAAGTGCCAATGTAACAGACCAATAGAAATTCAAACATCCTGGATTGCACAAACAAAAAACACGATCGCAGCAAAGGACTAATGACACGAGTAGCATTTCACTAAAACAAAAAGGCAGCCCTCAGAATACATCCTGACACAAAATGGCACAAAAATATATAAATAACTGATCGCAATGGTGTTTCGCCTCCAACAGAATTTAGTTGAGTTTTACCATGTCAGTTTTCCTCTGTAATAATGGCTAAATCTCTTTTTTGATAGCAAATTGCATCTGACCTTCAAGTTGTAGAAATCTTTTCGTTGGGGCTACATTTTGAAGAACATTAAAACTTGAAGGAAATTCTAAGTCCTGGTTACATGTTGCAATTTTATTATTAAGTATTGAAGGAAGACACGAATTGTCTCAGGTCTAGGGAGAGAAATTTTCCATCAAGGCCACTGCTTGTTAACCAGTGACCCCTGCAGGACAGTACACGTGTGGGGATATCAGGGGAGGACAGAATGTAACTCAGCTATAATGCCTTCCATGATTAAATGGCCTGCTGCCCCGACTGTCTAAGATCCCAGTAATACAGTCACTTCTGGATACCAATGGAACTATCCCACAGCAAGCCAGTCAGTCCCTTCAAGAAAGTGGTCAAAAATTTTACATCATTTGTTACACAAAGGCTGCCAGGAAACCCAAATTGAGTACACATTGCGTTCTGACTACCATTGCGCTTTTGTTTTTCTGCCATGCAAATTCTCAACACTGAGCGATGATTATTTAAAGTTGGCACCTCTGAAGTGGCGTATTCAGTATCACATCCACAAGCTGAATGACTCCCTCCACTATCTCTACTGCAGCATCTCGAACTAGTCGTCGTAGAGTCACGCCTGGAGACAAGAGACATGTCAGTTATGTTCTGTCAGTTACCCTCTTACTAGCCACATGCAAAACACAAACCGCGGTTACTTATATCCTGCAATGATTGTGAAGCCATCAGCACAAAACTGATCCTCATTTCTGCTCTAAAAAACCTAAATAAATTGCAAGGTTGGATCCCTGGTTATTAACTTATGCAACCCACTTTTTTTTTAAAAAATCGAGCAACATTTCAATAGATTATATACCAAAATGTACAGGGTGTATCAATTCGTACCACTTCATGTTTCTATTCCTTGATCCATTCTACAGGTTAGGTCATAATGATGCTATGGCAGGAGGAGACTTTATTGAATAACAGCACTTGCCTTGACTCTTGGGTAACCAGTAGTACACTGTGGATAAATTAAGAATGCTCTTTTGAATGTCATCAGCCAGTTTCTGACAGTCCTGGGCAGAAAAGAAAATTTGAATGAAGTTGTGGACCGATTCTAATGTGGAAAATCTCAAGTCGTACTGACAAGTTCACTCACATTCGCAGATGGCAAGGGTGGCTTTGAAAAGAGGAGACTGAGCTTTGTTGCTTCTTGTGATATAGCTTTGAAACATTCATCTACAAGAAGCAGCAAGGAAAACAATTAGACAATTCTTCTGTAAGAAATTAAAAGCAACACTTGTTGGAATCACAATTTAGAAAAGAGTCATTTACTATTTTGGCACAGCTTAACTGGTTAATAAAATAAACCTTGCATTTGATATAGCGCCTTGTCGTGTCTCCAAGTGATTTACATAATTTACTGTGTAATGACTCAAACTCAACTGCTAATTTGCACACAATGTCCCCTAAAACAGCCATGAATGACTAATTTATATCTGGAGGATTTTTGGCCAGGACATCAGGAAAAATGTCCTTCTCTTTTCGAAGAGTGAAATAGGAGCTTTGATGTCCACCTGAACAGGCAGATAATAATAATAATAATCCTTGCATTTGATATAGCGCTTTTCACATCTTCTCGATGTCTCAGAGCGCTTCACAGAATAGACTGTAAAGTGAATTGACCATATATTTGTGGGCGAAACGCGGCAGCCAATTGCAGATGGGACCTAGGTGTAATGTCTCATCTGAAGGACAGGATCTGTGGCAATGAACCCCAGCGCCGCATTGCAGTGTCAGCCTAGATCACAAGACTGTGAGTTCAAACACCCTAAGGGACAACATCAGAACTAAACACAGTCTCTTCAATAGTCTGTGACAATAGGAAGACCAGAAAGGTCTCAAATACTCTGTAATAAAACTAGAAAAGAAAGCTGAGACCAGATCTTACTCAACATCAAATCAGTCCTGTATTACACGTTCACTCCTGCCTCACACCTAGACCACCCCCTAATAATGCACATGCTCCCCACCCCTCACCTTGCTGTCCCTTCTTTCAACCAGCATTAATAAAGGATTATCAGGCAATCCTAATAAAGTGACAGACACGAGACAAACTAATGAAACTAACATTTGCATAAAACCGCCTCAACATTTTAATAATATTTTAATAATGAAGAATATTTCAGCAATAATAAATAAATAATCCTTGCATTTGATATAGCGCTTTTCACGTCGGGAGGACGTCCCAAAGCGCTTCACAGAACACACTGTAAAGTGAATTGACTGTATATATTTGTGGGCGAACCCGGCAGCCAATTGCGCACAGCAATGTCCCACAAACAGTCGTAGATTGAAAATGGCCAATTTATTATTGTTTGGGGTTTTGGAGGGATTATTATTAGGCTCTGTGTGGAGTAAGGAAACTTGCCCAAGGTTTCGCCCTGTGCCTGGTATTGAACTCAGGTCTCCCACTTGCAAAGCGAGTGCTCTAACCACTGAGCTACAGGACTCCACATAAGTCTGTCACAGATTATTCAGATCCCGAATTAAACTCTAGTACCGAAGAGAACTACAACTTTAAACAGTATAAACCATAAGCCACACTTAGAATGCACCAGCTCTCCCCTTACAACCCACTGCGCAGGTCACGATCTGCCTTTCCCCTCTCTCAGTTTTAAGTGTCAAGTGTCAGACCCAGGGTATTCCAGAAGAACTGCAAGTCAAAATCTTCAGAGTTCCAGAACGATTCTCCTTCTGTAAGGAAAAAGGACATTTGGCATCACAATTTTAAAGATTTTTCAGAAAAGGAATTTTTTTTTATTATTTTCTTTTAAAACAAAACTTATAAGAAGTGCACTTGCTTTGCCCTGAGTTAACCCACTGACAGCCTGTAACTCACTACTAGGCTGTCCTTATTACAGTGGCTATACAGCATCTTCCGCAAGGATAAGGTCCAGAAGAGTTTCATGTGATGGAGGGAAACCCAAGAGCCGGAAGATAAACAGTCGCGTGGGTGACGGGTAGTGAGTGACAGACTGGGGTGAGAGTGTGAGTTACAGACTAAGGTGAGGGGGAGTTACAGACTGGGGGGGAGTGTGAGGTACAGACTGTGGGGGAGTGTGAGGTACAGACTGGGGGGGGGGGAGGTACAGACTGTGGGGGGGGGGGGGTGAGGTACAGACTGTGGGGGGGGGTGTGAGGTACAGACTGTGGGGGGGGGAGTGTGAGGTACAGACTGGGGGGGGGGGGGGGAGTGTGAGGTACAGACTGTGGGGGGGGGTGTGAGGTACAGACTGGGGGGAGGGGGAGTGTGAGGTACAGACTGTGGGGGGGGGAGGTACAGACTGTGGGGGGGGAGTGTGAGGTACAGACTGTGGGGGGGGGGGTGTGAGGTACGACTGGGGGAGTGTGAGGTACAGACTGGGGGGGGGGGAGTGTGAGGTACAGACTGGGGGGGGGGGGGGGGGGGGGGGGGAGGTACAGACTGTGGGGGGAGTGTGAGGTACAGACTGTGGGGGGGGGGAGTGTGAGGTACAGACTGGGGGGGGGGGAGTGTGAGGTACAGACTGGGGGGGGGGAGGTGGTGGGGAGTGTGAGGTACAGACTGTGGGGGGGAGTGTGAGGTACAGACTGGGGGGGGGGAGGTACAGACTGGGGGGGGTGTGAGGTACAGACTGTGGGGGGAGTGTGAGGTACAGACTGGGGGGGGGGTGAGGTACAGACTGGGGGGGGAGTGTGAGGTACAGACTGGGGGGGGGGGGGGGGGTGTGAGGTGGGTGGGGGGGGGGAGTGTGAGGTACAGACTGTGGGGGAGGGGGAGGTACAGACTGTGGGGGAGTGTGAGGTACAGACTGGGGGGGGTGGGGGGGGGGGGGTACAGACTGTGGGGGGGGGGGGGGTGTGAGGTGTGTGGGGGGGGGGGCAGTGTGAGGTACAGACTGTGGGGGGGGGAGGTACAGACTGGGGGGGGGGGGTGTGAGGTGTGTGGGGGGGGGGCAGTGTGAGGTACAGACTGGGTGGGGGGGGAGTGAGTTAGGATCTGGCGGACCCGGACACGCGGCTCACTCGAGCCCGAGGCGGCCTGGGGGCCTCTCACCTCTCAGCTGCGCCGCCGCCGGCCTGAGGCTGCAGCCGAGGTTCCGCAGCGGGAGCCTGAGATCCTCGCTCCCCGGGGCCGCCATTGCCCGCCACCCAGAGAGAGAGAGAGAGAGAGACACACAGAGCGCGTGCGCGACAGGGACCGACCCCTGACCCCCGCCTTCGCCCCGCCCCCGACAGTGACGCCCCCCCCCCACACACACACACAGGGCACGTGCCCCGCCTCCTGTGACGTACGTGGCACCAGCTCCGCCCCCGACACTGGCCCCGCCCCTGATACTGGCCCCGCCCCCTCCTGTTAGTGACCCCGTCCCTGGCCCTCACCTTTGACTGCACCCCCCAGGGTGAGGGTCAGGGCTCACTGACCCCAGGGTCAGGGCTCACCGTCCCCCCCCCCCCCCAGGGTGAGGGTCAGGGCTCACCGTCCCCCCCCCCAGGGTGAGGGTCCGGGCTCACCGTCCCCCCCCCAGGGTGAGGGTCCGGGCTCACCGTCCCCCCCCCCCCCAGGGTGAGGGTCAGGGCTCACCGCCCCCCCCCCCAGGGTGAGGGTCAGGGCTCACCGTTTCCCCCCCCCCAGGGTGAGGGTCAGGGCTCATCGCCCCCCCCAGGGTGAGGGTCAGGGCTCACCACCCTCCCCAGAGTGAGGGTCAGTGCTCACCGCCCCCCCCCCCGCCCAGGGTGAGGGTCAGGGCTCACCGCCCCCCCCCCCCCCCAGGGTGAGGGTCAGAGCTCATCAATGCCGAGTGACGTACTCGCTGAACGGTGGCAGTTACCCCCAAAGCACACTCTGGGGCGGGTCCCCTCGAGCCTTTTTTTAAGCCCACGGGAAGCTAAATGCTTGGTCCACGTTTAATAAGTGAATCGAGGTTGAAAAAATGTGGGAGTGTGGGGGGCAACTTACGTGGGACACACTGCAATGGGTTCTACGGTGGGTGGAACCCACAGTCGTTTGGTTTGGAGGCTCTTCAGCGTGTTGATGGGTTTCCGCGCAGGTCACAACACCCGCCTCACAAAAGAAGCTAAGAATCAACGTTGCCATACGTGGTCAAGCATCGGGTGATTTTCATGACGACGGCGATTACCGTTCTCGCATTACTTTCACGGTGAGCGTGGGTAGGGTCGTCGAACCTATAAAAAGCATCACAGCCAAGGTCTCATGCGATGTCCACACAGACATTGCAAATCCCGGTTAATTTTCCCCCTCTCGAGCCCAGAGCCGCTAAGGCAAATTGTTGATTTTATGCCCTCTCCTTACTGAGATCTGGGATTTAGGGTCTGTATGACCCACTGCTACACCCGGCAGTAACTTCACCAAATTACGGTGGGCACATGAAAGGCTTATCATGAGGAAGGGTTCAGCCGAACTGCATCACTTTCAAATTTAAATGTCCATTTAAATCTTTTTCCCATACATTTCTGGTTTATTTTAAAAGTCTTATTTTCATTGAAGTATCAGAAATGTAAATAATTATTCCTTAAACTTCCATTGCTCTAAATATAGAGTATGAGACATGGTTGGGGGCAGGCGGTGGAGATGAGGATCTGATGTGCTAATTATCGCATCCCACATTTTCCCCTTATATGGGTAAAATTTCTGTTCAGTGTTACTTGCACCAACCTTTCATTTTAGAAAATGTCTGCCACTAACAGAATTTCCCATTATGGTCACATTTTGCTAAAAGCGCCACATGCAATACTGAATGCAATGTTACCCCATAGTGCAACTAAATGCTATTGTTAGGCATTTTGGTGGAATAATTTATTGTGCGCATTGTGTACTGATCCAACATTTAGAACATGCCACCCTCACTAAAAATGTACAAGAAACCACACAACTTATTTAGCAATTTGTTAGTTTATTATGCGAGATTTATTTTTAAAAAAACACTGCAGCTTCAGTTACAATTTTTCTTCAGTTCAGATTTCTTTTAAGAGCATCATCTAGTCAAATACACAGGAAGGGTGCGAGTACAAGTTCAATAATCGATGGGTTAAAATAACAAAAACACACAGACTCAGGATCTCTAACACGATCATCCTTGACAAAACTTAAACTGGAAGAATTTAAAATAAAAACAAAAATAGTAATTCCATAAATGTGAATATAAATCATTTTACATAACTTCATCATGACAGGCGTGAGAAATTTGAATTTGCCCTGGTTTTGAAATAAAACATTGCCACAAGAACATCATTCTTTTCCTATAAATTTGCAGCTCCAATTTGCTAAGTGAAGTGTTTTGTATAACAAACTAACTACCTGGCAACTTTGCTTACCTTGATTCAATGCTAGACTTCGACTTAAGGGACTTACTTGAAGCTCTAATCAAGATTTTTTTTAAAAAAAAGAAAAAAAATGCTAAATTCATCGGTTGGCTTTCAAAGTGTTGCGACTCACACTTCAAAACTTGTTTCGTAACATTGGACTGTGAAACTCCAGCGGGATACCCAGTCTCAACCTCTGGCGAATTCTGTTTGGGCTGACGTTCGAACTGCTCGTCCTGCCACGGAATTCAGAAATAAAACATTTCCAAGATACCAACTTGCTGTCCTATTCACGGCGACTCCCAATGAGTGATTTCGGACTTTCTCGTTCGTGGAGCTGAAGTTTCTCGTTTTTAATTTTGAAATTTTAAAAAAAAAATCCAATTTTCTCATGGATTTGGAATCTCACACAATGCACAAGAGATCTGAAGTGCCACTCGCTTCCTGCCCCGATCCTGGCCCTATTGTGCAGCTTCGCTGGTCCAACCCTGAGGTAGGAGACGTGTCAGTAACGATGCACATACAATGACTGTAGTGCCGAGGTGACGTGGAGAGGGGGGGAATGAAAGGGGGAAGCAAGAATGGGAGGCGTGTGCTGCATCAGTATCACTTTCAGAGGGAAGCCTCCATGGGTTCAAGGAAGCAGCTGCAAGAGGTGGAAAGAGGCGGAGGGGCAGCACCATAGTAATTTGTGAGAAGCGAGGAAATGAGGCTCACCCACCATTCTTAAGTGGTTTTAAGGAATGACCCGATTTTTCAGTGTTAAATGTGCTGCTTTATGTAATGCCCACTTCTTAGCACTTAATAACCATGCTGTTTGCTCTTCAAGCATTTGCTTTGCCATAGACAACCTGAACAAAATATACCATATATAATATATATATATATATAAAAATTGCAAATAACTAAAAATGCAAAATATTTCTCCACCAGTGCAGTGCCTCACTCTCTGGCACCCCTGCCACCAGGAAGATGTCACCTCCCTTCGACTAATCCCCTGCTGAAATTCATTTAAAAAGTGGCAAAACTAAAAGTGGCATAACTCCTTTGACGTTTTCAGCGTTAGCATCTCTGTACTTTTAAAAACCAGCTGAGATCCTGTCAGAAATTAAAACAGCACAGCAATGGAGAGCAAGCTGCCCAGCAAAGTGAGTCGGTCCCTTTGGATAGTTAACGATCAGCGTGACAAGCAAAAAATTATTTCCAGCCTCGTAATGGATGCCTGAGAGCACTTGGGCCAAAATGTGCTATTTTGCAGGAAATTACAGAACTGTAACTTCCAAATCATGTTCCCTGTAATAAGAGACACATTAAAAACACTCGATATAGTTACAAAATGAACAGCATGGGTGGCACCGAATTACAAAGTTCAACATGTTCCCTCATTTGATTTGGGGGTTACAAATACAGTGTACTGACTGCAAGACATACGAGCCCCAACAAAATCAACTCAGGACCACAAACATCCTTTTAATTCACTATAGATCATCCATTTTTCAATGCACAGCAATGGATTTCTCTTGAGATGCAGTTATACTGAGATGCGATTGTAAGTCGAAAGCTACCACAGTAAATTGTTTTTCCCGCCCATTTACCTCCAACATTAGCATAGCGCGAGTTGTCCCAACACAATTGCCGGTGTTCTGCTAAAGCTAGCAAAATGTTAATGTAAACAGTACAGGTTGTTTTTGTGGTTGTTTGTTTCAACCTCCAACGATCAAATGCGTGGAAACCAATCAGCGGGATCACGCCCTCAACTCCCACCCCACCCGCCTCGTTAAATTTCTACAGGAATCTTCGAAGATCTGCAAAGTTCATCATATTATTCGCAATGTCTGACCAGGCAGAATGCTGAGCACCGTCCATTTCCGAAGCCAGTTGGTTGCTGCTCTCTAAAGCATGGTCCATACCCCCAATCGTTGCATTGCAATCCGGACACTTACTTTTTTCCATTGCACCTCCACATTCAGTAATAACGTAGACATGACCATTTGGGCATTTGAACCAGTGACCCTGACGGAGTCCCATCGCCTTGATAATCATTACCCTGTCACAGTCAGAAATACCGAGCCCGGTTGCAGGCAGAACGGACTTCAGTTTTTCCATTTTCTCCCTAACAAATTGCTCCTCCTCTTCCGTGAACTTCTTTGTACCTTCAAGAATTATCTGTATGCTGTTGATGTCCTGTTCTGTTGAGGAGTTCAGCTTCCTGCTCGAAGCTATGTTACACCGGACGTAAAGGTCGACGAGAAATGTTATCCGCTGAATTTCGCTTTGTAGATCCATGAGCTCCTGTCCCGTGAATTTTGAGCGAGATTTATCCAACCACCTTAGACACTCGTTCAGCTTTGTAATAAACTTGCCTTTCATGTCAAAATTTAGCCTTGCCTCTTGACTTTTAAGTTCCGCCAGTCTTGAGAGGAATGTTATTTTATTTTCAGCAACGCTCAAATCCTGCATCGAGATCCCAGAGGAGAGGAGGGCGGAGGAGAGTCTTTTATTCTGAAGTTGAAACTGCTGAGCTATGATGGCGTGTTCCTTCAGCACTGCCATCAGATGTTGCCCGTTTCTCATGTTTTCCTCAGGGTCGCCCTTCACGATCTTCTTCACCTTCTCGATTTCGCCGAGACTCTTCTTTATGATAGATCCGTAGCGTAGGTTTTTCCTGATTGGGGTTCGGCACCTTGGGCAGTCCTTCAGCTTGATCACCGTGCCCTCTCCGTCTTCCTCCTGGTTCATGTAGCGGTCAAGGCCGCTGACCTCGAAGATGTGGCCGCAGTCCTCCAGCTGAACGAACCTGGCGTCCGGCTCATCCTCGCTGCCGAACATGATTTCTGTGACTTCGGCGTTGTGGCAGACGCGGCACTTCTTGGGGCAAAGTTCCCCGCACAGGCCGATGCAGGGGTGACCGCACTTGAGCCTCTTCCTGCAAGGCTCGTTGCAGGGAGGCCGGTCACAAGGCTCCGAGCAGAGCCTCTGGCACCTGTAATGGCGGCAGGCCCACTCGCACGGCTCTATGCAGGGCGTGCACAGCTCCCCGCACTTCCTCCCGCACTTGCTGTGCTTGCACACATTTTGGCAGGGCCTCCGGCAGGGGGGGCACTGGTTCGTGCAGGGCTCCAGGCACTCGTGGGAGCAGATGAGCAGCCGCCTGCAGGGCTGGGTGCAGCTGGCGTGAAAACGCCCCTCGTAGCAACGGTGGCAGGAGCCCGTGCACTGGTGGGCGCAGTCCAGCAGGGCCTTGCACTTCTCTTTGCAGGCCACCGAGGTTCCGATCCTTGCGGCTTCCTTGATGTAGCATTCCACCTCCTGAGTGTGATTGCACTTGAGCGTGATCGGCACTTTGACGGTGCAGGTGGCGCAGTCTTCCCCGCACGAGGCGACGCATTGGTGGCCGCACCAGAGGGTCTTGGAGCAGGGTTCCTTGCAGGAGAAATTTTCCGGGTCCATGGAACAAGGCACTTTTTGCAGGTGACCGCACAGCGGGATCACCTTGTCCACCTTCACCCGGCAATTGCCGCACTTCTCGTAGCACGACCTCGGGCACCGGTGGCCGTCCTGGCAGAGCACCTTCTGGCAGGGCTTCATGCAGTTGAACTTCTTGTGCTCCATGTCGTACGGGTGGCAAGCCCGGGTGCAAACGTGGCCGCAGTCCAGACGGAAATTGCATGGCAGGCTGCAGCCCCCTTCGGGCACCTGGCTGAAATCGTCTGCCTTGGACACCAGGGTGGCCGTTTTGGGGTGGTTCTGACAAGTGAGCATCAGCGAGTGCCCGATGTTGCCTTTCTCCCGCAAGGTGTGCATGATTTTGCTCCAGAGGGGCACGTTCGCCAGCATGCTCATGTTCCCTATGCAGTAAAGACCTTTCTTGGCGCGCGAGAGAGCCACGCAAATGCGGTTAGCGATCTGCAAGAACCCGACCTTACCCGCTCGGTTGCTTCTCACCAGAGAAAGTAAAATAATGTCGTTTTCCTCTCCCTGGTACTTGTCGACCACGTGGACTCTCACCCCGGCAAACTTCTTGGACGGCATCATCTTACGCAGGCAAAAGAGCTGTCCTGTGTAGGTGGTGAGGATGGTGATCTGCGAGGGAGAGTAATCCTGGCAGATCAGATAGTGACACAGTGCCACGACAAAGGCTGCCTCATGACGGTTCTGATGGCTCTTCCCATCTTGGATTTCCTCTTCAGGGAAATCGTGCTCCAGAAAGTAGAGGTCAGAGGAAACGCCCTGTGAGGAGGAGGAATTCAAAGAGAAGGTCATTTCAAATACCACAAATTTCTAATTTGCTGCACAAGGACGAGTGATAAAGAAAGATTTGTCAAGCTTATTATTAAGATGATAAGTCTATTCTTTTTTTCCTCCTCCCTTTCCTCCTCCTCCTGAAAGGACCCAACTTCTTTTTCGTTCAACTGTGATACAGTCCCACGGGCTCCCTCTTACCCTCTAGTACCTCTTCTTAATGGTTATTATAACAAAAACAACAACAGTTTGCATTTATATTTGAATTGGGGGAATATCAGAGAATATGGGGAATAAGCAGGAGACAGAGATTAGACTGCCTCATGTGGAAAACCACACCAGTGTAGATTCGATGGGTGAAGTGCCCTGTTACTGTGTTTGAAGATTCTAAGGTTCTTTTATAATTATAAACTGGGCTCTCAAAGTTCAGATCAGCAATGCTTCACTGAAACATTTGGGTCAAACAGGAGGAAATGCTGCAATCTGCACCGAATTGTTGTTCCGCTAGAAATGACATGACTGATATTGAACACCAATCCAGAAATGCAGCTCAAACCTTGATGTTTTCATATTCCATTACAGATGGGTGATTCTCTAGCTGCTCATAGATATGAGGAGTCAACAGCTCCGCTATCTCAGGCCGCATTCGATGCTGGAACAAGATGCAGTAAAAATAAACCCACAGAATTAGCAGCATTCGTTCTTCTTATCTTGAGGTAAGAGCATTCAGATCATAGTTATCAGTATGACTGCGAAAAACCCTCTATTGATCTTGTGTTCCTCTTGCAGAGATAGGCCGTGCTTGGAAGTACAATAACTTACATTGTGCAACTAACGATAATCACACCAGCACAGGGCTGAGTGCAGCCCAGAGCAGCCTTCGCACATTTCATTTAACAGTTAGAAAAACATCACCTTTACGTGCTTTGACCTCAGTAATGTGCGCATTCCAGGAAGAATGAAACCAGACTGCAGTCAAAGCATCTTCAATACATGTCTCACAAAATCGGATCATATGAAGAACGTCATTCAGCCCATCTGATCTCTACCTTCCAGAATACCCACTCTCCCATCGGAGCAATATGCTGTGTTTTTTTTCACAAATGACTCCAGTGTCCTGACCTCAACCAGCCTTCCTGCCAGCCTGTTCCAGTCATTAATTACCCTCTGAGTAAAGAAATCTTGCTTACATCTGTCCTGAAATTGCGCTTCACAACCCTAAACCAATGTCCACTTGTTGTACTGTCTTGGTGCACCCTGAAGTATTGACCTGGGTTTGGTCTCTGCCCAGTTCTCACCTGATAATCCAGTCGCACATAAGGAACATTCATTTTCACAAGGCGTTCAAACAAAGACACCTCCAGATAGAAGTTTCTGGCCAGATCATACACAGTAGCACTGGGCCGGAGCTGTCAGGAAACAAAATATGTCTCAATAACACGTAAGAGGAACAAAGATTTAGCAACGTGAATCGTGTAACTCTCAGCATCAAAAGCCAGATCGCCAATCGCTGTCAAGGCTATCACATGTGTGCTCACAAGACAGTGGTTGTCTTTCTTGAATCACTGGAGAAATTTCACAATAATATTTCACAATAATTCACAATAATATCATGTAGGGAGCATTTACACGACAACGTCCCACCATAACACATCACATGGTATTTTTCCTCTGGTGCAGAGTGGGGATATGATAGAGGTATTTTAGATCCTTGAATGTCATGCTAAGGTGAATGGGGGAAAAACAATTTTGTTGGGGATTGGTGGTAAACAATTACACGTATAAAGGAAGGAGATTTGTAAACTAACCTGTTGATGGTCTCCAATCAGAATTAGGTGCTGGCATGCACTGCTCAGTGTGGTTATCAAATGTGCTTCCAAAACCTCAGCTGCTTCCTCCACCACCACAATCCGAGGCCCTACCTCCTGAAGCACTTTTCTGTATTTAGCCGCACCTGATGGCATAGAAAACTTGAGCTTAATTGACCTTGCTTCACTCACCCAAGTGTTTGAATAAAATAGCCTGTGACAAATTTTAATCTACCAGCTCCTGCGTAACTCAGGAAGATCAAGTTAACAAAACTTGAAGTTCCACTTGGTCATTGCCCGTCAAGTGTGGAGCCAGGACAACCTCTACTTTGTGCCTCAAGCATTGGCAGCATCAGTATCCACGGATGCACACTCCACCTCACCAAGTCAGTTAGGAACCTGGGTGTCTTGTTCAACCCTCAACTGTCCTTTCTCCGCCATATCTGTGCCATGAACCGCTCTGCCTTCCCCCATCTCCGCAACATTGTCCGACTCCGCCACTGCCTCACCCCTCAGGCCGCTGAAACCATCATTCGTCACGCATTCGTCACCTCAAGGCTCGACTACGGAAACTCCCTCCTTGTTGGCCTCCCCAACTCTTCCCTCCACAAGCTGCAGATCATCCAGAACTCAGCAGCTCATTTACTCTCCCTCAAGAGGCTCCATGACCCCATCACCCCCACTCTCACCCCGCTCCACATCCCTCAGAGGATAGAATTCAAAATCCTTATTTTCACTTTCAAGGCCCTCCACGGACTTGCCCCCTCCTACCTCTCTGACCTGCTAACCCCCTATCAACCTGTCCGCTCCCTCCGTTCATCAGGCTCCAGCCTGCTCCATGTCTCCCGCCCGACCTGCCCTACCATCGGCCGCCGGGCTTTCAGCCTCTCTGCCCCCACCCTTTGGAACTCCAACCCAACAAACCCTTCGCCTTGATCCCTCCCTTGCCTCCTTCAAGGCACGACTCAAGACCTTCCTTTTCGACCGTGCCTTCAGCCGCCCTCCTACCTCTCTTCCCTCCCTCATCCCAACCCTGGCCCCCGCCCACGCTCCAGCCCTGATCCCTGACTATTCAGCACCCTGGGATGTCCTCCCGACGTGAAAGGCGCTTTACAAATATAATTTTGTTGTTGTTGCTATAGAGATGTTGCAATGTACTAATGGAGGGTTTAGCAGCAGATCCAGAGGACCCTCTGCAGAGGTATTCTGACATTCCATTTCCACCCTAAGATGAACTGAATGAGGTTAGCAGATGCTACTGTTGAATCTATCCCATGTGGGTTTACGAACTTCCACGACTGGTCAGTTTAGTGATCGACAATGCTCACTGATAGTACAGTGATCTCATTATAAAAGCTGATTATCGCCAAAGTCACTAGATTCACTGTGAGCTGAGTTTCACGCTCTCTCTCTCTCTCACAAGCTGTCTAGGCACACAAAAAAGGTAAGTTAACCCTGACTGATGAAAATGATCAGACCTGTGGTTGTCATCCCAACAACTTTGGCTTCTTTCAGGACCCAGAGGTCTTCCTGCAGCCTCAGCTCGGCCAGCCTGTCCGCAGCTGCCTGGTACAGCTGCTCGTGCTGAACTAACCGCCGTCTGATGTCAATCTGATAAGCAGACAGCCATAACCTGCAAAGCAAAAGGATCACCTTTACATTTACTGAAAAATTCCACCCATTGTGTCTGTGATGCTCTTTGAAAGAGCAATCCATTCAGTGAGATTTGCCCGCCTTCCCCTCTGAACGGATTGCTGTTTCAAAGAGTCCAGGTGCCCATCCAGCATTGTTTAAGCACTTTGAGATGTCTTCCCGGTAGGAAAAAAGCACTATGTAAAGGTTAAGGAATATGTGTCTAATCAATGTAATTATCCCTCAGCAATATCATTATCACCTGTGTAATAAACAAATGCCCTTCGTATCTTGACTGGGAATATTTTCACAGGAATAAATGATCAGTTGTATCTGAAGAATTGTTGGCCAGGACACCAGGAGAAACTCCCTTCTCGTTTCAAGTAGTGGTATTGGATCTTTAACACCCACCTGATCAAGTTCAGTTTAACATCTCATCCAAAGGACAGCACCTGTGACAACACAGCACACCTTCTGCACTGCATTGGAGCATCAGTCTGGAAAATGAGCTCAAAGTCCTGATGTGGAGCTTGAGCTCCCAACCTTCTGACCCTACCAAACTGAGCCGAGTTTGACAAAATAGGAAAGGTTTCTATGAACTCTGACCTGTATAGGTGCCACCTATCCTTCAAGGGAAGGGTCCAGATATTGATAATTCCCTTTTCCTCCATTTCACTCATTGCGCCACTTTTCAGTAACTCTGCTTTCGCCTTCTGTTTCATTTTCTTCTTTTGGTCTCTCTGTACCTGTTAAAAGCAGGAACGATCCACTAAGATAAAACTCGTTAACATAAGCAGCCTCTGAACTTGCAAGCAGATGCCTTTAAATAGTATAAACTGAACATGCTGTGCTATCAGGAGTTCCTGAGCCTGGCAATGTGTGGGAGCTCATATGCTGCTGAGGTGCAGAGCAGGATTAGCTGTGTTTATCCCAGATCTCTTCTTACCTTCTGCATTACACTAGAAGTATGAAGAGGCCATAAAGAACTTACAGTTCTGCACTGGAGTGTCAGCCTAGTTTAGGAACTCAAGTCCCAACGTGCAGCTTGAACCTACAACTTTGTGACCTGGTGCTGAGAATGCTACCAACTGAGTCAAACAAATGCCTCTAAGCTTCAGAGGTTCTATGATTACCTCCCAGGGTGCTTCCTCCTGCTGCTGCGATGCACTGTTGGCTCCCATTTGAGCTTGTTGAGTTGCCTGGTTCTCTAGGTTCATCGCCAGCAGCATATTTGCCAGTTCAGCAATATCTCCGTCGTGTTTCTTCTTGCTCCTCAGTTTGGGCTCTTCGTCGTCGATCACTCTCTCCGCCTGGATGAGCTCTGCTTCCTCGGAGATGTGAATGAATTCCTCCTCTCTGTCTTCATCTTCGCTGTCCTCCTGCTGTGCGTCTTCTATCAAGTATGACAGAGAGAGAGAGACGATAAGCTTATAAAACTGGAAGAGTTTTCAACAGAGTGAGTTGGACGTCCCTCAGTGGCTCAGTATGTACAATGACAATTGTTCAATTATACAGCAACTTTTATGTCAGGTGGTCAACTCAAAGCACTTCACAGACCCAAGTGAGGAGCCCAAGCAGAAGGTAGCAGGAACTGAGGAAGGGGGAGGGGAAGATGACCAAAACCACAGTCAAAAAGGTCTCAATTCAGGCTTTAAAGTTGGGGAGGTCGGGGGCAAGGCAGAGGTTCTCTGGGATGGAGTTCTAGAGAGTGGAAACAGAATCTCAAAGCTCGGTCACTAATGATGGGGCGGAAGTGAGAGGGGTGGGGGGGAAGACATGAAGCAGGCCGGTGTTCACTGAGCAGTGGGAGTGACCTGGGCAGTAGGGTAACAAGAAGCCACAGAGGAAGGTGGGGCGAGACCATGGAGGGATCTGAATGTATGGTGTGATGTGGAACTAAAGGCAAATACAGCAGGTCGTACCCTTAACTCTATTGGCCTAAAATGAAAGATTTTCCAACAATCTTAAATCAGGTCTTATTTTAGAATCACATTGGGGACTGTGGAGAAATGGCTTCCAGATGAAGAATGAATTCCTCTGAGCTGTGCCTCCTAACAATCAGCTGTGATTGGCTCCAACATCATCAAATAGAAAAAGCACAGCCCTGATTCTTCTGCCTCCTCCGCTGATTAGTACAATTAGTTAGCAGCACAAATGGAGAGAATAAAATGTGTGGAGGGTGTGTTGGCAATAAAACAAATGTTTGCTGTATGTACATAATAAAAAAACAAAAGCTACATAGGATACAAAATCACATACTGTGGAAGCTGACGGCGAATCATTACCTGTATTTTCTGGGTTCTGTTGATCAACTCCAGGTATTCCGGTCACAGCCGTAAACCCAAGCCCCAGCCATTCTACGATCATTGAATGTCTTCTTCCAGAAAAATGAAAGTCATCATATGCCTAGAAAAGCATGAAATGCTCTTTGAAGATTCAACAACAAATGTTCCTCTTTATATAGAGCTACTGTATTTTGCCAAAGGACATAGAACAGGGAGAAGAGAATTCTGCCTTAAAGTTTCCAAGAATAATGTACTTTAAAGAAAATCAGTCTTGCAGTAGAACACAACAAGGGGATATATAAATAGAGCTGGGATGGTTAGAAGTGAGATCAGAAACATTTCTTCACACAGAACATTGTGAAGGTGTGGAATACACTGCTCCAGAAGGCTATAGGGGCAGAATTAATTGGGATGTTTAAAAGGGAATAGATAGTAGATCCTTGGGAAGTAAGGTACGGGGAAAGGCAGATTTTGAATAAGATCTGCCTCAATCTGATAAACTTGTCCCAGAAAAGGCTTGACACAAGATCAAAAGATTGCTTTAGATGAAGAAGGTCCTTTGGCCCATCCGATCTCATGTTTCCAGGATACCCACCCCCATCATTGCACCAAGTTGCTTTTTAAATGAGTTCCAGTGTCCTGGTCTCTACCATTTTCTTGGCAATCTATTCCAGTCGTTGGTTACCCTCTGCATAAAGAAAACCTTCCTGGTATCTGTTCTGAAATTGCCCTCGACAACTCTAAACCTATGTCCTCTTGTGGACGGGATGAATCGCCTCCACCTGTTATTATGTTCCCATCTTCATAGAAGGAAAGCACTTTTTAAAGAAGTTATTTAAAATTTTGGGGGCTTCGGCAAGCTTAAAACTACCACACCCGGCAACTCAAAGAAAAAGGGCCTCTCCAGTTGCCAGAAGCGGTTATGAAAGTAGTGTCTGATGTGGTCATACCAGCCCACGTTGCAAGCTGTTCCAGTGCCTTTCCAGGATATATTTCTCCAAGAACTGCTCATGAAGGACCCCATGTGTGGTGCATTCCAGGTGCTTGGCTGCCTCGCATATCTTTTGTTCCGATTCCCTCATCTGGTTTGTTACCTGTAAAATAAAATAATAATAATCCTTTCATTTGATATAGTACATTACCACATCTTCGAGACGTCCCAAAGAGCTTCAAAGAATATAACAACAACTTGCACTTATATAGCGCCCTCCACGCAGGGTAGCTTTTCAGAGCACTTAACAGTGGTGGAGCCTGACTCCGAGCTGGGTTGGTTGGGGGGGTGGGGGGGAAGAGAAACGTTTCAGGCGGGACTTGAAAAAGGGGAGAGAGGGGGTGAGGTGGAGGGGTTGACGGAGAGTGTTCCAGAGTTTTGGGGCCTAGTGGCTGAAAGCGCAACCTCCAATGGTGGGGCGGAGGGTGCGAGGGACAAGCAGGAGGCTGCTGCCCGTCGAGCGGAGGCACCTGGTGGTGAATTGGGGAGTGAGGAGGTAGGACAGGTTGGGAGGTGCCAGGGAGTGAATGGATTTGAACACGAGTGTGAGGATCTTGAAGTCGATCCATTCGGTGATGGGGAGACAGTGGAATCTGGCCAGAACTGATGAGATGTGGCTACGGAGTTTAGTCCGGGTCAGTATGCAGGAGGCAGAGTTCTGAATGAGCTGGATTGTGTGAATGTCAGAGTTGGGGAGACCCCCGAGGAGTGCGTTTGAGTAATCCATGTGGGAGATGACACACGCATGCACAATTTCGGCTGTATTTGGGGTAAGGTACGGTCGGAGGCGGACAATGTGGCGGAGGTGGAAGAAAGCGGTCCTGGTCAGGGTCCAGTTATGGGGGAGGAATGACAGCTGGGGGTCGAACTGGATCCCTAGATTGCGCACTGATTCGGCGAGTCTGAAGGAGAGCCCAGGGTGGTTGAGGAGTTTAGATCCGCAGGAGTGAAGACGTTGATGGGAGCCAAGGAGTATGGCTTTCGTCTTGTACATATTCCTTTGCATGAAGTTTACACTCATCCAGGCCTTGATGTCTGCCAGACAACCTGATAGAACATCGGCCGACCTGGAGTTGGTACTGGAGGAGGCAAAGTAGATTTGTGTGTCATCCGCATACATGTGGAAGTTTTCTCCGTGTCTGCAGATGATATCGCCCAGAGGGAGAATACTGATAAGGTAAAGAAGAGGCCAAGGATGGAGCAATGGGGTACCCCGCAGGTGACCAAGCGGGGGTAAGAGGAGAAACCATTTGCTGAGAAGAAATTGAAGCGGTTGGTTAAGTAGGACTTGAACCATGTGAGTGCGGTCCCACTGAGCTGGATGAGGGAGGAGAGCCAATGGAGGAGGATGGCGTGGTCGACTGTGTTGAACACAGCAGAGATTCCAGGAGGACACGGAGGCAGAGGCAGCCCTGGTCACAGATAGAGAGAATGTTGTTTGTGACTTTGATAAGCGCTGTCTCTGTGCTGTGGGCAACGCAAAAACTAGACTGCAGGGACTCGAGGAGGGAGAGGAAGGAGAGGAGTGACTGAAGTTAACCTGCAACAATGCTTTCCAGGACTTTGACAAGGAAGGGTAGTTTGGAGATGAGATGGTAGTGTGAGAGATTAGAGGGATCGAGGGTAGTGTTTTTTTAGGAGGGGTGTGATCATAGCGTTTTTCAGGGGAAGTGGACCAAATCCTGAGGAGAGAGACTGGTTGACCATGTCGGCCAGCAGGGGTGAGAGAAGGGGGAGTTGAGTGACCAGAAGCTGGGTGGGGAGAGGTCGAGGCAGTAGGTGGTGAACTTCATCCAGGTGATTGTCGTTGACAGGGAGGGGGAAGAAATGGGGGCAAAGGAGTGTAAGGAGCGGGGAGTGGCAGGAGCCGTGGCGGAGAGAGAAGGCGGTGTGGATGGTCTGGGTGGGGTGGAAGGGGACATGGGGATGGGGGAGGGACAGGATGATGCAGCCAATGGGGATGTTTACAATTTTTGAGGTGTAGAAGTCTAGGACCTCTTTGCACTTGACGTTTGATATGAGGATAGAGGGGGCTTGAGGGGCTGCATGGAGGAGGTGATGGATGGGGGAAAATAGGGTCTTTGGATTGTTGTTTGCCTCCAGGATGGCTTTGGAGTAAAAGTCTTTGGCCTGTGTAAGGGAGAGGCAGTAGGTGCGAAGGTGCTCGAGCCACAGCTGGCGGTGAATCGTGAGGCCGGATTTCTGCCATCTGCGCATGAGCGTCTGGGTTTGTGTTTTGAGTGAGCGGAGATGACTGTTGTATCAGGGGGAGTGGGTGGGTTTGGAAACAACGCTGGATTTCAGAGGAGCCAGGGAACTGAAGGTTGTGGAAAGGCGTACTGTACTGTTTCACATACTGTAAAGTGAATTGACTATATTTTTGTGGGCGAAAAGTAGCAGTGAATTGCGCACAGCAGTGCCCCACAAACAGTCGTAGCTTCAGTGACCAAATTATTATTGTTTTTTTTTAAAGGAATTATTACCCCTGGAAAAGCAATCCGCCAATCAACTAACAACCAGGTTCCTACTTACTGGTAGGTAAACAGATACCTTACTGGTAGGTAAACAGATAACAGTTTTGCCCTGCTGGGAATCGAACACAGGTCTCTCGCTTGTGAGGCGAGTGTTCTAACCACTGAGCTACAGGAGGTTAAATCTGAATTTAAGAATTTTCCATAATTCCCCACATTTTAAGAGCAATGTTATAGGCTAAAACCATGAAGCATTTTGAGCTGTTGGAGTAACACTGCAGTCTTACCTCAAAATAGGCTCCTCGCAGATGTTGAGGCAGTTTTCTTCTGAAGTCCCTGCTGTTCCGCAGCTCCTTCAGAGTGAACTTCTTCAGTAGCTCACTGTTGCTCCTTCCACCTACTCTGACCAGGCCTCGGTGCAAAAATCCATAGATTCCTACGAAGTTAAAGACACAGCGGTGAACTTTACAAAGCTACCTTGGTTCCCTCTGCTAGGTTTGGTTTTCTTGTCTCATTTCACCCTTTTCAGTTCTCTGAAGCAAATCAAATACAATTTTTAAAATAAGTGAAGATGGAGATTACGTAACCAAAGATCAACATATACTATCAAATGACCCCTAGACAAGTTCTTGAGGAAGACACTTCAGAAAAATTGTTATCTCAAACCCAAAACTATATTAACGTAATTGCTTAATGACACTAATGCAATAAACGTTGATTAATATTTGTGAAAATATATCCAACATTAATGCCTTATGAATGCAGGAGGATAGAAAACAGACTTGTAGCTCAACAAATTTCAAAGTCAACGTATTAGAACAACAACAAAATGATTTTATATAGTGCTTTTCACATCAGGAAGACATCCCACGGCTCTAGACACTGAAGGGTTTGCACTCGAGCTGGTGGTTGGGGTAAAGAGGAGCGGTGGAGGTGGGAGGATGACCGAAGGCATGGTCAGAGAGGAAGGCCTTGAGACAGGCCCAAACAATCAAATACTCGATAATAATACAAAAAGCATTTAGGTTGTCAGACGTACCTTCTAGAAACTGGTCCAATGCATGGTTGGTGTAACATACGACCAAAATCGGACACTTCCTTAGCCCAGGCTGCCAAACTGGCTCGTTGGCCAAAAGAGCTTGGACAATTTTTAATCCTACGTACGTTTTTCCTGCAAGGAATAACTTGATATCACTCGGTTTAACTCTTCAAGAAGTTTGATTCCATTACATTTTTTTGTTTTCTCCCCAAATGATCAAGTGGTATTTTTAGACATCAGAGAAGTCAATACTAAACTCTTAGGCATTTTACAGCCTTAATAATGCGGCATATTTGCTTTTTTTAAAGAAATATCGACCATTTCTACAATGGGTTCACAGTTTTAATTTTTGAGTACCTTTAATTTGTAACCAAAGTGGAGGAATAGCAAAGGCCCCCTTTTCTCAGATGATATTACCTGTTCCTGGAGGTCCTTGAATGATGGCCAGTTCCTTGGTCAGTGCCATCTGCAGAGCTTCCATCTGTGACTCGTCCAACTTGAGCGCTTGTTTGGAAGGCCACGATGCTGGATTGAGGACGTTGATTTTGTTTTGCCTTCGCACAAATTCGAGATGTGGCTCAAAATCTTCCTCGCAGTCGTGAGAACCTTCCTTCATCAGTGCTTCCAGATTGTAGGTATCGCCAAAAAGCAGGTAGCTCGGTGCACTGATGTCTGCCCAACATTCCACAATGTATTTCTGGAAAGGAACATCTTCCCCTCGGATCTCCTGGAGCCCTTCCAGAACATGGCGATAGGCTTCGAAATACGCTGTGGTTTCCACCATCAGAAAGGAATCGGAAGGCTGGACCTCTGCCAGGATCGGGCGACTTCGTTCATTAAAAGAGAGATGGACGATGCCCTTCTTGAGCTCTTCAGGATCCCGGTCTGAGACTGTAGCAAATAATAAGGTTTCAAAGTTGTCTCTTGACATGCACACAAGGGAACCGTACAGCAAACGCTTAGAATTTTGCCACCTGACAAACTTCAGGGGCCGAGTGTCAAACTCAATCTTATAGCCTACTCCAGTGGAAGTGCAGAGGGGGACTTTAATCCGTGTGTTGAAATAGACGCGGATATCATCAAATTTTCTTCTCCTTAAGCCTTTGTCGTCATAATTCTGAAGCAATTCTACAATTCCTTCTCTCAGAGGCCTTACGAAGTCTTCTCTCAGAAGACGGAAATGGGTGTCGAGGTAAACCTCGGCACTGTCGTACTTTTCACTGATCAGATTCGGTCTAAGGAAGGGTTTCTCATCCAAATGCACCTCACTGTAGGTAGGATATATGGTCATGGTTCTGTAGTTGTCTTCTGGGCCAGTTTCATGAGGATCGAGGAACAAACGCGTATCTGTTCTGAGTGTCCCATCCCTTCTCCTTTCTTGGAGATGGTGGATGATGTTCTGGACTTTCTCCATGCTCTTTTCAATCTGGTCCCCGATTGACACACCAGCAGCCCGGAGAGTGTTCACTGTCGGCTCCAATACCAAGATCATCATCGAGGTCTCCTGCACTGAGCTGGCTGGGAAAATGCTGACCAGCTCCTGCAGCAAGAACAAAATGTTTTCAATATATTCAGGATACTGTTTCCTGCGTGAGGGCATTGGATCTGTGGCCATCTGAACCACGTAGCGAGGCAAATAGTTTTTCAGAAAGGCCGAGTCCTTCACAATGCTCAGGAGATGCTGAATGCTCTGACGGTCTGTCCTTGACTTGCAGGCCTTGCACAAGACTTTACAAATGAGTTGGATAAAATTTGTATTCACCTGTTGGTTCAGCAGGTCTTTAAGGCCTGAGTTGCATGCTAATGTGATGACAATTTCAGATGGGTCCTTGTCCAAAAGCACTTCCATGGTCTTGTAGCCTATCTTTCTCACGTGCTGTTCTCCGTCCTTCGCATAGCCCTCCCTGGTGTGTTCCGGGCCACCCCTTCTCTGAAAGTGAGGATTTCCGCGATCGCCCTGCCTACCTCTCCCCCCTTCGTGAAAGTCTCTTCTTCTGGGTTCGTTCCTTCGCTCATTGTGCTGCTCCCTTCTGCCCTCTTGCCGATTCCCCTGAGGCCCGGGAACTCTTCCACTTGGATGTCGAGGTGCTCTTGCAGCGTTGCGCCTCTCATCTTGATGCCTAGGATTGGGATTACAGGTCCTTTCCTGGTTCCTTCCTCCAAACTCTCTGGCTGTTAGCAGTTGCTCTTGCCTGGGTGTCGAAAGTGCTCGTCTTGAAACTGGAGGGCCACTCTGGTCTGATGGTCGTGTGCTGTGCCTAGAGATTCCACTATTTTGCAGTGCTGAGTAGCCAGGTCGCTCTACAGAGCCTGGGGATTAATACAATAAAAAAAAATCAGTGATATATTTTATAATGGAATCTACTTTATTGTGACTATATTATCACGTCCACTTTCTTAAGAGACCATCATCTTGAACAGAGAAGGGAGTTTCTTCTGGTGTTCTGGGTTAACAAATACCTTAAATAAAAATAAATAGTCACTCACTCATGGCTATTGGTGGTCTTGCATATTGCTTTAAGACTTAATCGGCAATTGGACATTGACAATGAGAAGCAAGCAAACATAAAAGGATTCCAGGAAAGTGACTGGGGAGATTGAGGAAGCGAGTGCAAGTTTTAAATAAAGGAACTGTTGGTTTGTGTTTTGCAAGTACATTAGTAAGAGTGAGGTGAGGGGGAAAACAGAGAGAGAGAGAGAGAGAGAGAGAGAGAGAGCGATATCAGGCTAGGCCTGAGAGGAGACCAGAGAAAGGACGGAAAAAAGCCTGTGATTTTCCCTGTTTAGGGAAAACCGGGTTTAAATTTTTGCCTAGTCACGTGGAAAAAGAATAAGAGTGGGATGGTGAAAAAGAGGAGCGAGAAGACAGAGATTAGCTTGCAAGAAAGAGAAATAGAAAGTAAGGTGTATAAAAACACCAGATGGCATGGAACAAGAAGTAGGAGCGAAAATGGCAGGGAAGCTGAAAGCAGAAAAGTAGAATTGAGAGGAGGAATGGTAGCGGAGTCAAGAAAAGTGAAAGCAGAGGGAGGGAGGAGAAGGGGAAAGGAGAGAAAAATGGGACAGAGAAACTGGTGAGGAAAAGAGGAGAAAAGTGAGAAAGCTGCTGTGAAGCAAAGTGGGAAAATAGCAGAGAAGGTTAGAGCGGGGAGTGGAAATAAGATGGCGTAGGTTGAGATGGTCATGGAAGTGGAGCCAAAGACGGATGGTGGCAAAGATGTGATGGGAAGCTGTGAGGCTGCGGAGGTTGGCTCCAAAGTCACGGGAAGCTGTGGACTATTGGTGGGAGGCCCCAAAGTCTCGGTGGGAAGCCGTGGTACCACGGAGGTAGGTTGGGAAGCTATGGTGGGTAGCTGGGAGACTGCGGAGCCACAAAGTCACGGTGGGACCCAAAAGCATGACGGAAAGCAGAAAAGCCATGGAGAGCGGTGACGGGGAAGCAGGGGCGGTGGAGAGGAGAGGAGCGCTCAGAGAACGAGTCCTGGAGATCAACAAGAGCAAAGGGGAGGGAATCCCAAGCACCAAGGAAAGCAGAAGGGAGAGAATCCTTACCGGAGAGGAGAGATTTTCTGCAAGAGAAACTGTGTTTTGGATTTACAAACACTACACAGTGTCAGAAGTGAAACGGAACCTGGAGTGAAATGGACTATGAGATTTAATACGGATTGAAAAGCAGAATGCCGAGAGAAGCAGAATTAAATGCCGTACCAAGGTATGTGCAGATTCCAAGACCGCTGAAGTTGGTTGGAAGTTTAAGGCACAATTGGCAACGGTTTGAAAGAGACTTTAAAACTTTTGGATTAGCAGCAAACATAATGAAACTGCTGCAGGAACAGCAGTCAGTGATTTTTTTTGAACGTGGCTGGCAGGGAAGCAAAATAATATTTTGCAACCCTAGAAAGAGAGGTGGATATGTGAATGAGATGATGACTATTATGATGGAAAGTTGCTGTGGGAAAAATAATGTGATAATTGACCGATTTAAGTTTGGAACAAGAACAACAACAACAAAATTACATTTGTAGAGCGCCTTTCAGGTCGGGAGGAAAACAAGGACCCATATAATCATTCAATCAGCCCTGAGATCCCTAAGTAAAAATTGCAATTACGGAACATTAAGAGAGAAAATGATATGGGACCAGATTTTAGTTGGCATAAAAGATAGTAAATTGAGAGGAAAGCATTTGGAAAAAAGGAATCTGACGTTAGAATTAGCAATGGAGATAATAAGGATTGAAGAGGTGACAAAAATAAATATGAGAAACATGGAGAGAGAAACAGAAATGGAAATAGATGAACTAGCCAACAGACAAAGTTGGAATGATACAGTTGAAGAGTATGGAGTGCAGAGAATATACAGGCCAAGAGGGAGGCTAAACACAATGGACAAATGTGGTAAATGCGGATTAGAACATCCTATGAGGAGATGCCCGCAGAAGGAATGGAATGCTATCAATGCAAAAGAAATGAACATTATGCAAAATTGTGCAGCAATAGACCACAAGAAAACGTAGAGAGATATATAGCCGATATGAAGCACAAGAGAAAAGTCAAACAGAAAGAAGAGAGCACAAGAGGCCAAATAACCTGAGGAGAACCAGAATTGGGCAAATTAGATCAAGGGGATATGAAAGGAAAATCAGCTCGAATATAGAATCCCAAGAAAGTGAACAAGGAGTACAATATTGATGCAGTGGAACTCATAAAGAGACTACACACAAAAGAAACAAATGAGTAGATGGTTATCTATGGTGTATAAAAAAAGTAATTCATTGCAAATTAGATACGGGAGCACAGGTCAGTGTAATGGCATGGGATGAATATATAAAATTGGGAGAACCAAATAAGGAAAAAAATGGAGAAAGGGAAAGGTGAATTAAAGGAATATAACAAAGCAAAAAATGAAGCAATGGCAGAGTAGAGATAGAAGTGATCTACAAAGGGAGACAATATACAATAAAATTCTACACTGTAAAAATAAAAGCTGATACTTTATTTATTACTTTATTATGACTGGAAGATATAATAAAAATGGGAATGTTAAAAGAATTGTGAATGTGAAAATAGTGGAAAGTGAACCAAGGGAAACGGAAGAAATAATAGGAAAATATAAACAGGTATTCGGAAACAGAGGGTTAATGAAAGGAGATTACACAATAAGATTAGAAGAGACAGTAATTCAACCATTAAGGAGAGTACCAGAGGGAATGTAAAAAAGACTGACAGAAAAATTAGACCAAATGGAAAGGGACCAAATAAATAAAAAAGGTGGGCAAACCCACTGAGTGGGTGAGTGCAGTGGTAAAGCTAGAGAAACCAAATCATTACGGATATATTTAGATCCACAACAGTTAAACAGGGCTATGAAAAGGGAACATTATGCAATTCCCACTTTAGAAGATGTGCATGCTTTAATTGGCAAGTCAAATTTTCAAAGAATAGTATGTATTTGACAATGTTTATGACACGGTATGAGAGATATTGCTTCCAAAGAATGCCCTTTGGCATCAAGTCAGCACAAAAGGTGTTCCAGAAAAAAAATGTCTCAAATATTAGAAGAAATACCAGGGGTGATCAATTATATTGACGACATTTTGATATATGTCGAAACACGAAAGGACACGATGAAAGGTTGTAAAAGGTATTAAAATGTTTGGAAGAAAATATAAAAACTAAACAAAGAAAAATGCAGGACAGGAGTAAAGGAAGTAAAATACTTAGGGCATATAATTGCCCAAGAAGAGTGAAAAAATTGATCAGAAAAAGGTAATAGCAATAACAAAAATGCCCGCAATGATAGATTTAAAAAAAGGAGTAAAAAGGCTCATGGGAATGGTGAATTGGGTGGAAAGTTTTATTCCAAAATTAATTGAAATAATGGAGCTAATAAGGGAAAAAGCCAATAAATTCATGTGGGAAAAAGAACAGAAAAAAAGCATTTCAGAAAATAAAAGGCTATAACAAAAGCTGCAGTATTAAAACTTTATGATGTACATGCGCCAGTTAAAATATCTGTAGACAACAACAACAAAATTATATTTGTATAGCGCCTTTCACGTTGCTGAGCAAGGTACAACGTAAGTAAAACAGGGTTAGGAGTGGTACTAACTCAAGAAGATTGTAGCATATGCATTGGGAGTTCTATCAAAGACGCACAGATAGAGGAGTGTTTAGCAGTTGTATTTGGATGCGAGAGATTTAAACAATATGTATTTGGAAAGAACAACAACAATTTGCGCTCTCAATGCAGTGTCGGGTCTCAGAGCGCTTAACAGTGGCGGAGTCTGACTCCGAGCCAAGGTCGGGGGGGGGTGGGGGTAAAGAGAGAGATAGTCGTAAGCACGGTTGAAGAGAAAAGTTTTCAGGCAGGACTTGAAAAAGGGGAGACAGGGGGCAAGGCGGAGGGATTGAGGGAGAGCATTCCAGAGTTTTGGGGTGTAGTGGCTGAAAGCGCGACTTTTGATGGTGGGGTGGAGGGTGCAAGGGATAAACAGGAGGCCGGTGCTTCGAGCAGAGGCGCCGGGTGGTGGAGTGAGGAGCTTGGAGAGGTAGGGAGATGTCAGGGAGTGAATGGATCTAAACAGTAGTGTGAGGAGTGTGAGAAGAAGATAATAATAGAAAATGATCACAAACCATTAGAGGCAATTTTTTGGAAGGGGTTAAACGAAACACGGCCTAGGTTACAGAGAATGAGAATACGTCTTCAAAAGTACAATTTAGAGTTTAGATGCAAGTCAGGAAATACCTTACGTGTGGCGGATACACTTAAGAGAGCCACATGTCAAAATGGAAACAAGGAGGATAAACAATTAGAAAAGGAAATGGAGTTCCAGGTATGGGACATCACAAAAGCAACACGGCTTGAGAATCAAATAATAGAAGCAAACCAAAAAAATAGTGTGAGTAAGGAAATTCAAACGATGTTGAACAAAGGTTGGCCAGAAAATAGAAAATATTCACCAGGAGAGGTACGACCATATTATGAGTATAGAAATGAAATATATCAGAAAAAAAGGAATAATAGAGGGCATAGGACAATAATTCCAAGAGAATTAAGAAAAAGAAATGTTGACAAACTTACATGAAGGGCATTGGGGTATAGAAAAAGTGAAGAGAAGAGCAAGAGAAGTAGTATGTTGGCCGGGCATAAGTAAACAAATCGAGGACAACATAGGAAAGTGTGAGACATGTGCGAGACATCAAAACAGAGGAAGGCATGAACCTTTTGGTCATCAGAGACCAAACACTGCATGGACAAAAATAGGAATAGATTTGTTCTGTTATCATGGGAAAGATTATTCATTGATAGTAGACGATACCTCGAGGTACAGAGAATTTGCAGAATTAAATGATATAACTGCAGAAATAATAATAGGCAAGACTTAAGAAACATTAGCCAGGCATGGAATACCAAGGGAATTAATAAGTGATAATGTGTCACAATTTGCGAGTGCTGAATACAGAAAATTCACAAAACAGTGGGACACAGACCACAGAACATCATCACCAGGATATCCACAAAGTAATGGAATGGTGGAAAGAACAGCACAGACATTAAAGAAATTGTGGAAGAAAGCTGAGGAATCAAAGGAAGATAAATGTTTGGTATTACTAGCCTACAGAAATACTCCGATAGATGACCAGGGACAGTTACCGTCACAGATTAAGAGATGGGTTAATATGGAAGGAAACTAAATTGAAACCACAGGTACAGAGATAAAGGAATTGGAAGAAACAAGGGCAAGAGCCACAGAAGGAAAAAACTTTCAAAAAAGGAGAAGCCATATGGTTTCGGAGGAAAAACTTCCAAACATAAGGATGGATAAAAGGAAAAATTTGAGGGAAGGATAAGAACACCAGATCATATTGAGTAAAAGATGAAAAAGGAAAGATATATAGACAAACATTTTGGGAGATCAAACAAAGAAAATACAGGAAGAAAAGGAAAAGCAGAAGGAAGGTCAAGTAGCAGCAGAAACGGTAAGAACAACCAGATGTGGAAAGAAATAAAAAGACCACAAAGAATGATAGAACAAGATTGAGAAAAAGGGAAGAGAAGAAACTAAAAGAAGGAAATGTTGCATATTGCTTTAAGACTTAATTGGCAATTGGACATTGACAATGAGAAGCAAGCAAGCAAGCATGAAAGGAGTCTGGGAAAGTGGCCGAGCAGATTGTGGACGAGAGTGGAAATGTAATGTTTAAATAAAGAAACTAGTGAATCAACTGTTTGGATTTACAAACATTGCAAGTGGGACAAACTGGCAAACTGGCTGCCGCACGCAGTTCACCACAGAATACACAGTCAATCTACTTTACGGTATGTCCTGTGAAGCGCTTTGAGATATCTTGACAATGTGATAAGGCAATATCAAACGCAAGGATTGTTATTTATCATTATTATTGTTACACTGCCAACTCATTCATGGAATCATATTGATCTTCCCCACAGACGCCATGTGCAATGGTTTGTTTCATAGAATCAAGCGTAAAGTTAGAGGTTGTTACTTAACTTACCCCTTTCTGCATAATGCTCCTCCTCTTTAATGCTCTGATTATCTAAAGGACTTTCCTGTGTAATGAACCATTTATGAGCAGGAGCAAGGCAAGTTCTAGGTTACTTTCTCCCCTTTTCTGAAATGCTGACATACGCTGAATATGCTTCCGGGAGCTACAAAAGGCATTTATGTGTGAATTGATCATGTCCTCAGCCAATGTGAAAATAATTCTTGCAGTTGCATTTCAAGTCAAAGTGCTTCACAGGAATTAATGTGAAATGTAGCGACTGTCTATTTTGTAGGAAAATATACAATCACTTTCCTGCATGGGTCACTGAATAGCATTCAGAAGTGGGGAAAACTGGTTGTTTTTTNAACGTCTCCTTCAGCACTGGGATACTGAGGCTAATTTGTATGTCTTGGTTGAGATCTGATTAAGTCTGATTAAGAGGGAAAATGTGATGTTTCTACAATAACAAGAACAAAATGATCGGCCTTGAAGGAGGCAAGGGAGGAAGTGAGGCGAAGGGACCGTGGGATGGAGTCCCAGAGTGTGGGCGCAGAGAGGTTGAAAACACATAAACACGCACAATTGTGGCTAATTAGCCATAACCATAAGATCACATGAGATGTTTGGATGGAGAAGGACCTTGAATTAATTTGATCTCATGTCTCAGGAAACTCCACCCTATCATGAGTCATGTCATAATAATAAAAACAATCCTTGCATTTGAAAGAGCGCCTTATCACGCCTTCTAGATTTTTCAAAGCGCTTCACAGAATATACTGTAAAGTGAATTGACTGTATATTTTATGGGCGAAAAGCGGCAGCCAATTGCGCACAGCAGTGCCCCACAAACAATTGTGGATTGAGTGACCAAATTATTATATTTTAACAAAAATTTTTGAAGGGGTTATTACCCCCAGAAAAGCGACTAACAACCGGGTTCCTGCTTACTGTTAGGTGAACAGAGTAATCTAAAGGTTTGCAATTTACGAGACAGTCATTCACTTGCTGTATGTGAAATAATCAGCCACAGTACGATTATTCAAGCTTGGCATCCTACCCTTCAAAGACAACATCTCAACGCCCACTTCCCAAGCGTTCCAGTTATACGACGTCTGTATGACCCAGGTAGGTGCAAAGAAAATATAATTTTAGCAACTAGAGAGTAGAAACGGAACCCTGCAATAGCAAGAAGTAAACTGCACAGTCTGTTAACACTCACTCACCATTTCCTCTCCCGGAGTTTGCCCGTGACCATCCTGGCGTGACATGCCTTCTGTAAGGGTTCCCCTCCTCTGATTCTTGGCTCTTCTTCCATTGCTCAGGATCCATTGGGAACAATCTGCTGTACGTCACAGCACATTACGCCATTATATATCATTTCACTTTGACAACAAGAGTCGACAAAAGTCTTTGCCACCACATTCAGCAAAAAAAAAAGCAAGTTTCCAAAGCACTGTCAATTTGGATAACTTGCAGGTTTCCTAAAAATAAAAGTTTTTAAAATTGAAATGTGTGCAATATGTGGTATGTTTTAAGAGTATATCAAAGATCTGTAGAAAAGATTTCTGGTGATAGTGGAAATAAACCCTAATTTGTTAGACCACTACCTCGGAGATACCTGTCTGAGGGTGGAATCAAGCTAAAAGCTACGGACATATGTATTTATATGCATATCATTCCACCTCATGCTGCCAATGTATACCAGTGGGGCTATAACACCAGATTCTTGCTGGTAAAGGCAGTAATGTAAATGGTGGGATTGTGTGTAAATGGTGCTAAATAAAAGTGTCCAAATTAACTTTTTAGCAATTGGTATTAGGTAAAAGTTGAGATATTTCTTAACTCATCCTTTGTTAATTAGCGTAAGCAACGGGCTAAGAAGAAGCAATGAACATTTTACACCTTGTTGCTGTATGCAAATTGGCTGTCGCTTTCACCTACAAACACCCAGTCACTTTATTACACATTACAGTAAATAATATGAAGCGCTTTGAGATGTTTTGACAAAATAATAAGGTGCTATAGCAAATGCAAGGATTATTATTATTAACATAATTTTTCTGCCTCCAAACCACAGCACTAAAACTGAACGATTTGTCCTCTTTCTTTCCCACTCCTCTAACTCGAGGGGTGAAATACAAGGAGTTTCATAAGTGATTTGAAATGACAATTATGACATTGAAGTGTAACTGTGCCTTCTGTGCAGGCATTTGGTCTCCTTATATTTGTTGCAATCGGGAGGTTTGTTCATTGATCTTGCCGCACCTTCATTCATTGCTGGAAGAACAGGGTTTTGACCCCGGTGAAACAGCCAATGTATTGTATAGCATTATACAGAATGAAGCAGACAGAAACAGACCATTCAGACCAACTCTGTGCAGTGGTTATCCTTCACAAGAGTCTCCTCCCATCCTAGTTGCCAATACTATACCCCTGTATTTCCTTTTCCATCTTAAAAACATTGATGCCATTTGCTTCAACCACATCTTCCAGCAGTGAGTTCCATATTCCCACTACCCTCTGTGTGAAAAAAATTCCTCCTGAAATCTCTTTTAGATCTACTAGCTAACTGTCTTACATCTACTCTCAGTCTGCAAAACAAGTGGAAACAGCCCATCAATGCCAGAAGAAACTGTTGAAGACAATTGGGGTGTTACGGTACATAACCCTTCATGATGTTGCTATTTTAATATTGCTCTTGTTTGATGTGCAGGAAGAAATCTTTATTTAGGCTTTTAGACTCTCGAACAGCAACTAGTCTATTTTTGAAACATGCTGCTCTGCGCACTCTGATTAGCACATTCGCTGTTGGGAACTAAATATTATTCTGCTCCATTTGCTAAGTTTCACAGTTAAAGAACCCCTCTTCCCCATGTCTGCCTCCTCCCTGGGACTGGTTGAGGCTGGCTTCAAATAATCAATGAGAGATTAATTATTAATTATTAATTAAATGCACAATTAGAACAATTGTTCGGTGGCACGGTTTGTGCTTGAAAGACAGTTTCAGTATTTGTGCCATTTCGAATTCCTAATCGTGAAGGGGTGGGGTGGGGGAGGGGATTCCTCAGAAAAAATAATTGAATAAATTGATGGGAGTTTCCACCAATTTCCAGGCAGTGAAAGATTCAGAGCTCTTACTCACTTCCTGGTGGCTGGGTACAAAATGATTTTGGGCAATTACAAACCAGCACCAAGTGTCCACAAGTCAACGCAAACCAGCCCTGAATTCAGATGCAATCACACTCGGAGAGACCATATAGTGTCACACTGGTGCAGTACTATTGCTCTTTTGAGGTTGGGACCAAGCCCTTCATGGTAGAACACAGGGAGCTTTGCTCTGTATCTGAGCATCCCACAAATGTGAGTGCTTGACTCTGACACAGGATGTCAGAACTACGGATTTGCCAGGATTTCTATTTAAAACTAATGAAAATGCTGTACAATGAAACAAAATCCATCTTTCACACACAAACACACATTCTTCATTGCCAAACTGAATCAATAAATCAAAGTTACACAATTGTTTGAGTAAATAGTCTCTCCTCAAAGGCCAGTAAGCTTCCTATGCATATAATTAAATCTCCAGAACTTGCTGTACTCGTAAATCAACTTTTACTTACAAAGGAAACATCCTGGAGTACACTACAGTAACTCTATAAAGAGTTTTCACCCTCCAACAATAACAGAATACAATTTCCTCCAATCAAATTCACATTATTATTCAGAGAGGCTGTAACATGAAACAACGTTGACAAATTTTGTGTGCACAGCAAATGATCCCAAATGCAACTTAGAATTTGTCTTAATGAGGTCCGGGGTCAAGTGTGTGAGTTGGAATCTGTCAATTGGGGAGCAGGTCCGGCTGAGGCCATGCAGCGGATGATCAATTGCGGGTGACAGCATCCGGAATTGGAAAATGCTGATATTGGTCAGGTTTCGGTTTCTGCACGTGCTTCATTGGTGAGACAAGCGTTATCGGCAGATCTTCATAATGCGTGGCCCCCAACTACAGGGGAAGGTTGGCAGAGGGCTATTCTTCAGATCCTGGAGACAGATCACCAAACCCTTTTAAATCATACAGGACGAATGAAACAGGGTCCCCACAAAATACCCTCGGCTTTTGCAGCATGTTTGTCGCTTGGGATTGCGAAGCAGACGGAAGACACAAGAAGAGCTATCGTGCTACAGACCAGACAAGCGCAGCAAGCAGCGATTCCAGCAGCGCAGCCAGCAGCAGTGCAGGAAAACAATCCAACTGTCCCTCCTCAGCCCCAAGTGTTGATCCCCAATGTTCCTCCTCCAGCAATGGAGGACCCAGCTTTCAAAATAATGTTTTTAGAACAGCTAAACCCCAAACCAAAGTCGGCATCTGCTGCCACGGCGAATACAACTCTGCCGTGGGATAGTATTTTAGAAGCGGGCTAGTACACGTTTGGGATTTGTCTGCTCGTGTTCGTACCTCCATGCCCCCTCCCACTCCGCGGCCGGAAGCCGCATTAGAAGGACCCTGGCCACTAGTGGGTATGGGGAGAGGAACAGGCCGGGGTAGATTATACTTGCGTGCGCACTCTCTCGCACACACTCTATCTCTATACTCCCCAAAATTAGGGCCTGATATATTCTGATTTATGCAGGAAACCCTGGGCATTATGCCTCTGAATGTCGGTCCAGGAGACCAGGGGAACCACCAAACAGGGCAAAGAAATTTTACAGCCTCAAGCAGGAGGCAAGTCAATTGCAATAAACAAGGTCACCATATGTGGCAATGCAGACCACGGAGACGAAAGGGTCTACCCTCCAGACAAGCTCCAAATAACAATAACTTGGGAACCAATGATAAAATTCGCTGGTTAAGACAGCAGATTGAGAGATTGGAGACTCTGTTGAATGTTGAAAGGATCACAACACCCACAAAATGGAAAACCAGACAGCAAGAGGCAGACGAAAAATTAAAAGGGCACAAATTAGCAGCCTTGGTAGAGGAAAATACTGAAAAAGTGCAGACGAACAAGGTTCACTGCAAGGTTTGAAAGACAAAACAGGACAAATTAATTCTATTGGTAGAAGAAGGGGTAAAGGGATAAACTCAAATCCAATAACAAAACCAACAATACTGAGGGATTGTAAAGGTGAAACTAAGAGGCATACTGAAGAGTCAAACTTGAAAGAAAGATTGGGACAAATGGTACTTCTGAATTTGGAAGGTTATGAAAGGAGTTGAAAGCAATGAGACAACTGATTGGGCAGACAGAAGGAGAAATTACAGTATTAAAGTCATTATTTTGATTTATTTTGTGTAACCTTTATTTTGTCTGTTCCAGTAGTTCAGCAATAATCAAAGCCTGCGGGCAAGGATTGAGTGAACACCCGCTGAAATAATATTCAAAATTTCCGGGGCCTTACTGTTTATGTTTACATTACTCATGATATTATTGATGATCAGGCTCAGTAATTACACATGCTAAAATGAGTTGAAAGGATTGATGTGGTGGCTAAGGTAAAAGAGAATCGTGAAGATTCTGAGGATGATAGTGAGCCTGTGCTGTCATCTTGACCCACTCGAGGTAGGGATTGGGACAGTTAGCAATCACAGAATTCTGGTTTGTCTTAACTTGACCAAAGAAAATTGCTAAGACTCATCGACTTGCTTTGCTGAAATAAAACTAATTCTATGGGCTCCCAAGGACATTGATAATATCAGTACCTTTAACCTGTCAAGGACAAAAGGTGCACACCAACCTTGAGGGAAATGTTTTTAACCTTACAATGAATGGAAAAAGAAGCAGACTTGGCGGTATATGATTAAAAAGGTCTGAGTTTGAGAACGCAGAAACCGAGTCTTAACCGATCTTGAAAAAAAGAGATATTCTACAATCAACATGGATCAAACCACGTTAACAAGTCGATTCTTAATCAAAGCTGCTGTAGCAATCTGATCAATTAATTGCACTGAACTTTATTACTCATGTCTTATGCCTTTGTCATTGCCCCGGCTGTTGTTTTGATCGGTATGATTTTTTGTGATATCTCCGTCTTTTACTGAAGAGAACTTGCTTGCAATCTGACCATTTAGTTAGCTAGCTTAATAAATCATACATAAATGAGATTGAAAATCTTATTTTCTCACTCTCAAGGTAAAGACTGTAAGATTATGGTCAAAATCATTGTTTGATACCCAGGGTGTGTGTAAAGACTGGGAGCAGTAGTTGGGCATTGTCGTAGAGAGTCAGCGCACTTCCCAGTGGAATCAATATGATTCTACTGTATCTATGGTCTCAGTTTTAACAATAAGTGAAGCTATTTGTACTAGTTTATAAAGCTTGGATTATTACACAACCATGT